TTAAAGCAGCTCACAGAGGAGCCTGACAAGTTCCAGAGCCACTGTTGAGGGATGGATGTGACTCGGAGCAGAGGAGGGACAGAGAGGAATGAATGGCGAAGGGGTAGCGGAGAGAAACTTCTTTCCTTTTCATTGTCAGCCAACTATTCTGCTGCCTGTCAAGCTGTAGATGTAGACTTCTGAGAACTTGGGAACACACTCTTGTCTGTCCCCTGTTGTAACATCAGTTGTAGCACCAGTTGCATCGAAACTCCATTTCTTAATGGTTTACCATGCCTATAACGTAACCACTGATGCCCAGATGCTGTGAGAGTTCACAACAATAATACACACAAGAACTTCCCAGGACAAAAATAAATCTTAAATTTAGGTTAAACAGGACTCCCTACACTTGATTTGTGTAGGCTGGGGCAGAGTTTACCAGACTAACCCCTTCCAGACTAATGGTATCTCTGGAAAGAGCAGGTTGTACAAGTGCTGATAATCCAGTGACATGAGGAAATAAATAAAACAAGCAAACAAACCCAAACACTTGATGTCTCATAGTAATGTTCTGTCTCCATGTCAGTGTTATGCTTTCCTTCTGCTCTAGCACGTCCCTCCACTGTTGAGTACAGCTGCATATGGTACAGTAAATGGAACCAGACAGCAAAGACTAAATGTTGAACTTTACATTGTGGAATATGTAACATAACTGTGGTGTGACCCTTGTCACGTATCAGACCTTGACTGTGTTTCAGTTTGTCAGGGAATTATGTAGAAGTGTAGGATTGCCATCTCTCCTTACCCAGGTTACTGTAAGGAGAGATGCAGTACTTCATTCCATGAGAGCACTGTCCTCTAAGTGTTGGCAAGGGCTGTGTGTGAACTGCTTTAAGAGAAAACATTCATGGTGGTTTCTGTGGCTTCTGCATCTTCCTGCGGCAGCTTTTTCAGGGAAAAGTAGAAACACTGAATTAGAGATATAAAAAAAAAAAAATACTGGGAACTTCTTGCAAATGTTTGAGAGGGTTTATTTTCCGTTGGCAGGGAAGTATGGTATTTGGACTTCCAATTTGTGTAGCTGAGAGAGGGGATTTTTGTGGATTCAGCATCTGGCTCCTGCTGCTGAAGCCAGGATTACAGTAGGTTCTCTGGCTTTGTACAGAAGAGCTTGGGAAAACAATTCTGTTGAGAAAGGAGAAGAATCTGTCTTTTCCTTCCAGGAGAAGGGCCTGTAAACATTAGAGATAAATATAGTGGGAAAGACGTCATTGTAGTCCCCTGGCCGGTGATATGGTGGTGTTTGTCTCTCCAGTTACATGCTAGGGAGGTAGCTCTGTGATTGTGAACTCTGTTCCAATCTGTGTTTTGTTTGGGCCCTCCCTGAAAGAAATTCATCTTTTAACTCAACATCGGATGCTTAGACTTGGATTGATGACCTTAGAAATCTGAAAGCATTCAATTTACAGACAAATCTGTGCAATCAGACAGTTCTAATGTTTCGTAACCTCTGCTCAGGAGGAACTTTGAGTCAACTCGTTTGTCACTTTTTATCCTTTGATATTGTGGCTATTGTCAGGTTTTTGTAAATAGTAGAAACAGTCTGTTGAGAATTCCAGTATTATGAAGGACAATGATGAGATGAACTGTTTTCTGTTTTCATCTGTGTTTTCATCTGTGACAAACTTTTTACCATCTCTGGTGGAAATGCCCAGAGGCAATGAACATCCTTAGAAAGAGGCATGGTTAAAGTGGGTCATAATTTACAGCAACTCCTTTGGTGTCAGATGGAAATCGATGTCTTTAGGATTTCCTACCACATGATTAAGAATCAGCTTTCTCTGCCTGCCTAAAAATCTCATCATTGCCTTCCCAAGGGCTTCAGATCAACTGACAACCAACTTCTCAAGGAATGGAACAGTGGATTTAAAGAATCTCCTAAATCACACTTCTGTTGAGCAGCATCTAGAAAACAAAGTTGAGGCAATTGCATTTCTATCACCTGCATCACATGGAATGTGGACTATTTTTTGGGTTGTGCTTTAGCATATGATGCTCTTCTAGATATGCTAAAATGCTTTTGTTCCTTTTTTTTTCTGCTTCAGGCTTCCTTATGGGTTTGTTTATTTTCCCCTTTCCTCCTTTTGAGCCTAGATGATCCTCTGTGGTCCTTTGGATATTTAGGGTATTTGAAGAGAAGCAGTTATCTTGAAGTTCAGATGTATGGTGTAAGTCTTGATAGGTATAAAATTGAAACTGGTTTTAAAGTCATGCCACAGGTTGTTAAACTACTAAAGCTAAAAGCTCTGGTGTGATGCAGCTATGGTGCCACAGCTCATTTTATTCATAGAACTGGGATAAACCATTGCTATATGATTTTACCATGGTGTAGGCTTGTGTAGCTTCTGTTGGGCTGGGATGGTGAGATGGTTAAATACAAGGCTGTAAAAGTTCAGAGCACTATCCAAGAAACAAATTCTCCCAAATCACTTGGTAGTCCCCATGGTATCTCTGATAACATTCCTGGGACAAATGTGTGATGTGTCAAGCAGGGATCAAGCACATGAAGATGGGTAGTGCTGGTACAACAGAGCTGGCTTTCTTATTACCCGATTTATTACCATGGGTGTGCATAGTTTTCATCTTTATGATCCCCCTTGTAAGTACGGCAAATGGATGTATGTGTAGAAGAAGATTTGCTTTGGTTTTGCTTTAGATAAGAGTAACAAAGCAGATTAATGGGCACTTTTTCATTTGAGAAAACATGTCCTGTTGAGATAGATCAGATTGCTAATGAAATGGACTGGAGATGCATGGCAGGAGAGATAGGATCTGTTACTCCTATCTGACTGAAAGGGGCTAATGCAGGGGTTTCTTTGATATTCTGGGGAAGGGAATAAGTGATTAGATTATTTTGTCTGAATTCCTGTTACTTGCTTTTAACCCTAGATCTTTAGTCTGGTTTAACCCCTGCTAGAAGCACTCGGGTGCTGTCTGCTGGGAAACTGATTAATGACACTTCATCTTATTGAACACCAGCTAAATACACCCAGCTCACTGCTGGGTTTTTGCACCTTGGAGTAGAGTTAAGTTTTTGTAGGGAAGAAAAAGAAGAGTAGGTTTGATTTCTGTTTGAGCCTGGCTGTCACTGGAGCTAGTGTCAAAGATAGCTGTCCTCCCTGCGTCGCTTCCTTAAATCAGGCATTTTGGATTTGATCCTCGGCATGTTACTGTTTCTGCTTTGTTGCTGTGATACAATACTTACTGGTGCCATCCGCTGTAGAGTATTAGAAGATCTGAGCTGACATGTTGTGTAACTTACAACTGTTTTCACAGCTGATGTTCGTGATTTTGCACCTTTGTTGTTCTCTAAGTAAGCAGCTTGCAAGATACTTATTCAAAAGAGAAATGGTGAAATGGCAGAATTAACTATTCCAAAATAGGAATTGTTCTTTGCAAGGGAATAGCAATTAGTAGCTTTTTCCCAAAAGCTCACTGAATTTGTTCTGCTCAGTTCATAGGATCATAGAAAGGGAACACAATACAGTATTGTGGTGTTTGAACTCAGGGCAGAGTGAGCAGTTGGGATTACAGCAGAGGGGTTTCAGTCCATTTTAGCAATTACTTTTTGCTTATGGAAACAAAAAGTCTTTCAGATAATGACAGAATATTAAAACCACCGTTGACTGTTGTTGTTCCAGCTGCTAAATGGAAGGTGTTTTGGTAAGAGACTTGAGGAACTGGCATTATCAGAGTGAGTTATTAAATTTAAAACTTAAACTGAAGTTGCTTTAATAAGAATAATCCTAAAACAATCAGGAGAAGCATGAGGTCTTTTTGTGGTTTGTTTAAATTTTGAAGTGAGACTTCAGATGTTTGCACAGTCAGTGTTACAAGGCAGTTGCCTTTTTCTTGTCTTGATAATTTCCTTAGGATGACCAGCAGTGCTAATATAAGTATGACAGTGAATGCATGAAGCTAAGGGATTAGTTGTCTGGTGGTAGATGGGTCTTGAAAACGCTTCAGAGGGAGAACATTCCTTTCTTGCAGATGAAATTGGAAATAATCTTTCACCAGAACAAGTGGAATCCCAACTGACTGATAAATGAGTTGATGTGATGTTGCTGGAGTGGCGTAGAACCCCAGCAATTAAAAACAAGAACAAAAGAGGCATTAAACCAAACCAGCTTCTCCATTAAAACCGTGGCTGCTTTTGTTGTGATCGTGCAACTTTTGAACAGTTACAATATTTGAAGTGTACTGCACTTAATCCATCTTTTTCAGAGCTAATGTGAAATACTAATGGAGGAATTTTGCATATCAGCTTAGAGAGAAACTGCACTCTCAAATGAAAATGCCAAGTCATGGCCAAACACGTTGTCTTAATAGGCCAAAAAAGCTGGAAAGCCTGATGTGACTTAAGATTGTAATAAATTAGTTAGACCAAAGCATGGAAATTCAGGGTTAATCCATTTGAATTATTGGAGTTGATTCTTAAGGGAAACATTTATCACATGATGTCTAAAGTATGTGAAGTATTTTGTATTGGGGTAAAAAGACAAGGTTCCTTTAAAGCAGCTTTTGCAGTTTTTAAGCCAGGTTACATAATAAAGGATTAGGGAACAGAATGAGCCAAATCGGATGAATGGGAGGTTAGAATTATGCACTGCTGCTGTATATGACTTCTGATGAGAGTGACTTGGTACTTATTCATGTCTATATTTCAAAGAAAGTTAATTCAGGAGCTCATTTTCCATAAATACATTTATTGCCATATGTTTATTCATTATTTCTTGCATGAAACACAGGTTGAGAATAGTGAGTCATTCTCTAATATACTTAAACAGATATTTTCAGTTTTGACAATATTGTTTATTCATTTGCTGTGTATATAGAACATACTATTCCCCATAGTGAAAAACCAGTGGCTATGCAGATGTTAGCCAACAAAATAGATTTAGCAAATCAGAGTTTGTTTCTCTGGGCTTAATTGTTGGTTTTTGGTTTTTCTTTTATAGATGCCACCTTCAATGAACAGCAAGATCTTTTTTGTCAGAAGTTGCAACAGTGTTGTGTCCTCTTTGACTTCATGGACTCTGTTTCAGACCTGAAAAGCAAAGAAATAAAGAGAGCAACACTGAATGAACTGGTTGAATATGTTTCAACGAATCGTGGAGTGATTGTTGAATCAGCTTATGCTGACATAGTGAAAATGGTATGTAGAATGCTCATTATATTTTCAATGTTAGTAAGATATCTTAATCAGTTTATGACTCTGCTGGCATGTAACTCAGGCTTGCTGTTGGTTATTCTGCTTATGCAATATAGTATAATTCATGAATGATAACTTGGTCTACAAGATTGCTTAGAAAGGCTTGTAAAAACAACTTGAGTTTTAATTAGCCGAAATTAAATTGAATTAGCTGAGTTTTAATATTAGCTGAAATGTGATGCATGCAGGTTAATGAAAATGAAAGAGTAGGTATATTGCAGATGCTTGCAGTCTGGGTGAGCTTTGAAGTTGTTCTCATTCAGAAAAAGGCAGTATTTCCGTGCTGCCTGTCTGTTTAAGAACGGCAGTGGAGTGAAGGCTAAAGTTTTCTAGTGAAGATTCTTGTGGGTACTAGTGTCTGTAGGGAAGCAGCTCTACTTTGTAAATACTTTCTGTGCCTGGCTGTTACTGTTTTGGCCTTGGAGAGCTGTGCTAGAGTAGTCTAAGTGGTTCACTTGTGTTGTAAACCATGGGATGATTTATCCCATGCAGTTTCTACCAATGACTTGTTGAATAAGCAACAAAATATTTGTGGTTGCTATCTGCTGACTTTCCCAGGTGTGTTACGTTCACTTTCATGTGCTACTTAAGTGATGTTTCAGCTGTGCCTATACTCCATGTACAGGGAGCTCAGCTGAAGGACGTTTGATCATCATCTGGAGTACTTGAAAACTCTCTCTTCTAGAAATGTTCAGTGTAGAAAGAATGTTGTTTAGTGCCTGTGCATTCAGGCTCATGGTTCTCCAAACTTCAGTTAAGTTTACAGATATGCAACACTGACTTCAAAAGTAGCTGTCAGGAACGTAAGCAGACCAGCTCAAACATATGGCTTATGTCTTTTGTGGTTTTCTATACAGTGCAAGCTGGTTTTTCCCTTAAGGGTTTTCACTGGGTTTTGTTTGGTGGCTTTTGGTTTTGTTTTTTTGCTGTGAGCAGCTGATAGCAGATCTTCAACAGAAATAAGCGTAAAAATGTGCCATTGTACTGAAGGGCTGGAATTATTGAAACCCTGTTAATCATTTTGGCTGTTTCACCAGATGCTTGGTAAGTTTTACAAAAGATCTAGGGCGCCGGGGGGGGAGGGGGTTGTATAGTTTTGCTTTTTTAAAGGACCTCTGTTTCTGTCCTCAATGTGTTTTACACAAGAAAATCAAGGACAGAAGGACAGAGCACATCCACCTCTTCTCTGGCTTTATATTGCTGCTGGTGGCAGCAAGCCTGAACCCTTGCAGTATTTTCTTACTCTGTGTGCCCTCTATAGCCTTTTCTTAGAAGAAAGAGTATACTAACTAGCTTATCATACTTGTTGAAGGGAGGTTTTCTTTTACACTGGAGTTGTTTTCTTTTCTTGGAGATAAGGGGATGTTGAGCTGTTCTTTTGAGGTTATTGTTGTTGTGCAAATGATTGGGCTCTCTGGATGCTTGTTTTTCCTTCCATAACAAATTTCCACCTCCTTTTGTCCCCAGAAATGACCGAAAATGAAGAAGGCCTTAAATGCTCAGGGAGAGCTTTTTCAGAGCTTGAGACAAAAGATCCCTCCAAGCCTGAATAGTATTTCTAGTCTCCCAGGCAACTGGCAGCAGCAAAGGTCTTTGCTGTGAATCAGGCCCAAGTACCAGCTTCCAGAAGGAGCTCTGGATGAGACTCTCTGTCCAAACAACACGTGTGTCAGGCTTGAGGCCTTTCTTTTTTAAATCTCAGTGAAGTTTTACTACAGATATTTTTTTTAATTTTTTTTAATTATCTGATTTATATTTTTAATTATGTAAATTTTTGACAGTGTTACTATAGTAAAAGAAAAAGATTTGAGGTTCTTTGCAGAGCCTGAAGGATAGTGGATTTTGGGGTAAAAAAGTAGAAATCAGCCATAATGAAACCCAGCTGTTATCTGACTGGTAGTAAAGGATGTACAGACTCCAGAAATTCAATGAGAGTGTCCTAGCAGCTTGCACGAGCTGGGAATTCAGCATTTCATCAGTTATCCCTATCTGCACACTCAGAAGCTGGAATTGAATCTGCTGTCTCTCCAAAAGCTTAGCTCCTTGGGAAGTGCACAGGTAATCATAAAATCATAGAACAGTTTGGGCTGGAAGGGACCTTAACGCTCATCCAGCTCCAACCCCTGCCACAGGCAGGGACACCTCCCACTAGAGCAGGTTGCTCCAAGCCCCTGTGTCCAACCTGGCCTTGAACACTGCCAGGGATGGGGCAGCCACAGCTTCTCTGGGCACCCTGTGCCAGCGCCTCAGCACCCTCCCAGGGAAGAGCTTCTGCCTTAGCTCTAACCTGAACTTCCCCTGGTTCAGTTTGAACCCATCACCCCTTGTCCTGTCGCTCCAGTCCCTGATGAAGAGTCCCTCTGCAGCATCCTTGTAACCCAAGCCTTTTAACCCAAACCACTTTTTGGATCAATACTATTAGGAAGACATTAGAAAAAAGCAAAGAAGACAGGAAGCAAAAGTATTCAAAACCTAATGAAGCAAATGAACTGTGGTTTTAGGGAGACAGGCTAGTATGTAAGAATTGTATCCAGTTTATTCTAAGTTTCTTAGTTCTCAGGAGGCTGATAATACTAGTAGAAGCACTGAATACTCTGAAAATCATAGCACTAGTTTTCTAAAGATCTGGCCAAGAGGTTTGCTCTCTGTTTCCACTGCAGAAGTATCTTCAGTAGGTAGTACCTTCAGTTTAGCCTTGGGAGGTTCTGTGCTAAAGGGCTGACTGAGTCATTTCAGCAAGATGCATCTAGATATAAAAAGATGCATTTTCAAGAGATGTTACCAGAAGACGTGTAAGCAGAGGTGGGGAAACCTGTGTAAGGGGCTGTCCTGCATGTTGCATGTTTTTGTTGAAAAGTCAGTTTATGCAATAGCTTTGTATCTTGTTTAATGAGGCAAGTGATTCTTCAGAGCTGACCCAGCTGGGTGACTTCAGGATCTTTTCAAGTCCTTCTGCAAAATCCTTCAGACACCTTGGAGACTCCCTGGGAGCTGTGCAGCAGCATTTGCTGCAAACCAACATTTTCGATGGTCTTCAGTAGGCTCGGGTGGTTAGCAGCTATTTGAAACAGATTTGGTCAAAAAGAATAAGGGGTTTGAAAGATGACTGGAAAAGTTGGGCTATACATGTTCCTGAAAGACCAGTAGAAAATGCAGAAACAAAACGAACTTTCTGTTCTCTGCTGTTCATGTTAAAGAGGCTTAAAATCCAGTATGTTACAGCTGGCAGAAGAGAAGCCATTTCTTTTTCTTTTGGCATCTGAAAGATTGGTCTTCTCTCCAGACTAATGTATACTTCAAAAATCCCTGAAGAAACTTTTTTAAACTTGCCCTTTTGAATTGCATTTGACAATTTGTACTTACTGTTTTTCTTAGGTTTTTTCCCAAAGTTACTGTATGTTAAGTCATTTACAATTGTTAATATGGTTCTGAGTGCCCAAAACTGTGAAACATCTTGAAGTTATGAAAGGTGAAAAATTGTAACAGTACTTCAGTTCTTACTTTAAAGTGAGAAATAGCTTGAAATTAAGTGAAGAACTCTAAAATGAGAGATGTTTTGGGGGTTGTCTGCCTTAGATGTGGAGAGCCCATGAACAGTGGCTAGTCATGCTGTATTTGTTGTCTTAGATAGAATCATGGAATAGTTTGGGTTGGAAGGGACCTTAAGATCATCCACTTCCAGCACCCTGCCATGGGCAGGGACGACTTCCATTAGAGCAGGTTGCTCTAAGCCCCTGTGTCCAACCTGGCCTTGAACACTGCCAGGGATGGGGCAGCCACAGCTTCTCTGGGCACCCTGTGCCAGCGCCAATAAAACCAGCTCTTGGTGACACAGAGTTGACAATTGCTCTTTGTAAGGGGAAACTACAACTTTCTTTTAACTTTCTTGGTTTCAGAGAAAAGTCTTAAACATGATCATGTCCAGCTCCAAACTTGTAACCCAGTTGAAAGACAAATGTTACTTTCTTATTATTTTCATTGGCCTGTTTCAGACTTTTGGCTGTTTGGATTTAGCAGGTTTGAGGGGAGGGGGGAAAGGAGATTTAAAAAAAAAGACATTAAAATATTGATCTATTATATTGGGGTTTTTAAATATGGTTTTGTTTCATGTAGTGTGAGGACAACGGCAGTACCTTGGTGAGTGTGACCTGTGGAAGCACAGAGTGATACAATTAAATTCTCTTCTCTTGCAGATTAGTTCTAATATTTTCAGAACACTTCCACCTAGTGATAATCCAGATTTTGATCCAGAAGAAGACGAACCAACTCTTGAAGCCTCATGGCCCCACATACAGGTATGTCATCCCTTTATAGAATTGTGGAATCATGGGATGGTTGGGGTTGGAAAGGACCTTAAGAACATCCAGTTCCAACCCCCTGCCATGGGCAGGGACACCTCACACTAGAGCAGGTTGCTCCAAGCCCCTGTGTCCAACCTGGCCTTGAACACTGCCAGGGATGGGGCAGCCACAGCTTCTCTGGGCACCCTGTGCCAGTGTCCTCCAACACCCTCCCAGGGAAGAGCTTCTGCCTTAGCTCTAGCCTGAACTTCCCCTGGTTCAGTTTGAACCCATCACCCCTTGTCCTGTCGCTCCAGTCCCTGATGAAGAGTCCCTCTGCAGCATCCTTGTAGCCCCGTTGTAGTCTCTAGTGATAGTTGTTAGGATTTTAAGTTTGCAAACATCAACATGTAGGAGAAGGGAGAAGCTGACTATCCAGAAGTGGCCATTGCAGCCTGATTCCTGAAATGCCTGAGGTGAAGTTTCATGGATTTCCCAAGGATTTCCAAAGTTATTTGACACCTTTTACCAGCTGTACCTGTTCTAGGAGCAGTGGTCCTGATTATCAGGAAGCCTGACAATTCTGTACGCATCAGAACTGCACAAATACTCCTGCAGTGCACAAAACTTCCTTGTGCTACAGCTCAGAAACGGGGTTTTTGAGCACTCTGTTTCTTTTCCTGAGAGCTCTTTAAGACCAATAGCAACAGTCATGATTCTGGAGTCGCATGTGTTTCTCTGAAGCATCCAGAAGGTTACTAGTGCATATTCTGCCTGTACTAGAAATCAGATGTGACAGTTTAAGTTGTCATCAGGTATGGAGGATCTTGGGTTAATATTGACTTGTTCTGTTTTATAGATGACATGTACCTTGGATTTGACTGTAGTTGATAACCTAAACTTAATCTTGGACGGCTTGTACCAAGAAGTTACAGCATTATGCTTTAACTTAGTTCTTCTGCTTGATATTTATTGCAGTCCCTATATCTATTTATGGAAAGAAGCCACAATTGTCCTTCCCTCCCCCTGTCCTGTTGGGAAAACAAACCATACCAGTTTAGTCATCAGTTGTAAAAGGTTCTCTGTCCCATGACAGTTCTACTGGCTCCTTCTGTGTATCCTTTCAGGTTTGAATACATTTCCTCAAGCATGTGTAGGACTGGACATCTCTATCTGTACTGTCAGTATCTTCCTGGAATATCCCAGGATTTAATCTGTCATTTCCATGTCTTCATCGAGTAGATGGATCTTAATCATCCTTTCTCAGCTTGAAGGCTGCCTAAGCAGAGCTTTTTCTTCAGTCTCTAACTGTGACGTTGCAATGCTTGAGTTTCATGCTGTATTTCTTACTCCAGGCCCTCAGTGTCAGCTTGTTCTTTCTTACTGATAAGCTGACATGCTTCTTTCTTTTCTTTCTCTTTTCTTTTTCCCTGGTAATAGCTTCCAATGTTGTGTCATTGTCTAAGCAGTTTACACACATGACTAGTTATTGTGGTGGTCACTGACAGAAGGATTTAATTATAAGAATTTATTACAGAAATACTGATTGAAATTTGATGCCAAAATTAATCCCTATGAAGCTGTGCTAAAATCCTCCCTCCAGCTGTATGTTTCCTATTTCAATACAAACCACTAATGAATTTATGCTGTTTCTAGCTTGAAAAAGATCAGTAGAATTGTAACATGGTTTGGGTGGAAGGGACCTTCAAAGCTCCTCTAGTTCAACCCCCCTGCAAGGAGCAGGGACATCTTCAACTAGATCTGGCTTCCCCGAGCCCTGTCCAACCTGAACTTGAATGTTACCAAGGATGTGGCATCTGTACCAGGGACGTGGCACCTTTTTGGGCAACCTGTTCCAGTGTTCCACTGCTTCCATTGTAAAAAAAATTCTTCCTTGTATCTAGCCTGAATCTCCCCTCTTTTAATTTAACCCCATCAACCCTTATCCTGTCACAGCAGGCCCAGCTAAAAAGTTTGTTCCCATCTTTCTTTCAAGTCCCCTTTAGGCACCGGAGCTGCTCTAAGGTGTCCCCTTGAGGAGCCTTCTCTTCTCCAGCTGCCCCAGCCCAGCTCTCTCAGCCTGGCTCCAGAGCAGAGCTGCTCCAGCCCTCGCAGAAGCTCCGGGGCCTCCTCTGGCCTCGCTCCAGCAGCTCCATGTCCCTCTTGTGCTGTTCCCCAAAGCTGGATCAGGGCTGCAGGGGGGTCTCCCCAGAGCACAGCAGAGGGGCAGGATCCCCTCCCTGAGCTGCTGCTCACACTCTGGGGGTGCACTCAGCACATTGGGGGTTCTGGGCTCAAGCGCACACTGAAGCCGGGTCATGTCCAGGTTTTCATCCACCAGTACCCCCAATTCTTTCTCCTCAGGGCTGTTGTCACTCCTGCCCACAGCCCATATTGATACCAGGGGTTGCCCTGACCCAGGTGCAGGACCTTGCACTTGCCCTTGTTGAGCCTCATGAGGTTCACATGTGCCCACCTCTCAAGTCCAGGTCCCTCTGGATCCCATCCCTTCCCTTGGGTGCATCAATTGCACCTCTCAGCTCGGTGTCACCTGCAAACTTGCTGAGGGTGCACTTGATCCTGCTGTCTGTGTCATTGATGAAGACATGAAACAGCCATGGTTTATCTCTTTCTAAGTCAGAGCCTGGAGTATGGGAATACTTAGAATTACGTTACTGGATTGTCTGTTACCAAGCTTTTAAAAGTTCTGTTCTATGTTGTCTCTTGTGCAGCTACAGGGTCAGAGCCTGGAGTATGGGAATACTTAGAATTATGTTACTGGATTGTCTGTTACCAAGCTTTTAGAAGTTCTGTTCTATGTTGTCTCTTGTGCAACAGCCTTAATTTGTCTTCTTATGCACAAGAAGACAAATTAAGGCTGTTGAGGGAAGCTTGGGGTTTAGTACAGTATTCTTACATGAAATCTGTATACATTTAAACTGCTGATATGGAAAGCTCTGGTTACAGTCTGTCAGAGGGAGGAAGGGAAAGGGAAATGCAGGTCTATCTGTGTTTCTGAGCTTCTGCTTTGCAGGTAGAGCAATACCCTCCTTGAGGCTAGGTGTCATCTCAGATGTTCTAGATAAAAAGTACCTGTTGTCAAGCACTTTTCTCAGGTGAACTTCATAATCCTGAATTACTCAGGTGTTGGCTCTCAGTTTAGTAAGTACTCGGGGTGATAATAGTTCAGATACCTGCCTGTGAGTATGACCACGGCTCTGTGTGGCTTTTACTGAGAAGTCCAGTCAGTGACGTCTTTATGTATCTAACTTGTATTTTAGTATCATTATTAACCAGTTTAACATGGAGTTAAGAAATAGGTGTTGACAATATAAACAGCCCTGAATGTGTCTAAACATACAACATGTTTCCTCTCAATTCTGTCTTGGTTAAGAGGTGCCTTATGTGTATTTCACACATCTGCCATTGTAGTACTGTTGTACGCTGTAGTCCAAGACACAGAATACTGTATTGCGGTATTTTGTGTCTTGGACTTCTGATGAACCCCAAAATATGGGACTTGTGCTCTGGCTTCTTCTTGCCTCTCTCTGCTACCTCAGGCTCTCACTAGTGCTCTCTCCTGTCTCTTTTTCCATCTGTGGGCATTGTGGGTTCATAGCAGATGGGGACTTGAGCTCAACAAACACACTACAAAATAGAAAGGGTTGAAGATAAATGTGCAGAGGGTCTTGTTGTTTGATTTAGGATATAGAAACGTAATGTTGAGCCAAACTCTTCAGTTTCTCTGTATTCATTCAGCTTTTTAATTACTTTTAATTTTTGGAGTTTTCAGCTGTAACTTAATTTCAGGAACACTTAGCAAATTTTTCTTATGTGTTCAAGGAATTACGTGGTGTTAGAACATTTAATTTTACCCTCAGGGCTGTAAAGTTATTTCTACAAAATAAATCCGTAATATAGAAGGAAATGTGAATTTATGGAATATGAAATAACTATGGAATAGTTAAACTTGCTTTTTGTCTAATAGTGATATTTTCAGTGAATTGTTTACTAAACTTTGACTCTTCTGGGAATTGGTGTTCTTGATACTTACTGTAACTGTTTCGGTGAATTCCATCAGAGGTTGTGATTAGACAGTGATGTGTCAGGCTTCGGTTTCATGCTTTTTTCAGCATGTGAACAGCCCCACTGACACTGTGGTGGTGGGCCTGAGATCTGCGTTACCGTGCACTTAACTAACTTGAGAATCTTCATTTTGGTGTTTGTAGTTGGTGTATGAATTCTTCCTGAGGTTTTTGGAGAGCCCGGATTTTCAGCCCAGCATTGCAAAGCGGTATATTGACCAGAAGTTTGTACAGCAGGTAAGTAGAGAGGTTTTCTCACCCCCAGATTTACAGATCACCTCTCTAGCTTAACTTACCAGGTGGACTGCACAGACAAGGAGAATATTAGAATCATAGAATGGTTTGGGTGGGAAAGGACGTTAAGATCATCCAGTTCCAACCCCCTGCCATGGGCAGGGACACCTTCCACTAGAGCAGGTTGCTCCAAGCCCCTGTGTCCAACCTGGCCTTGAACACTGCCAGGGATGGGGCAGCCACAGCTTCTCTGGGCACCCTGTGCCAGCGCCTCAGCACCCTCACAGGGAAGAGCTTCTGCCTTAGCTCTAACCTGAACTTCCCCTGGTTCAGTTTGAACCCATCAGCCCTTGTCCTGTCGCTCCAGTCCCTGATGCAGAGTCCCTCTGCAGCATCCTTGTAGCCCCCTTCAGACACTGGCAGCTGCTCTGAGGTCTCCACGCAGCTTCTCTTCTCCAGGCTGAACAGCCCCAATGTTCTCAGCCTGTCTCCATACGGGAGGTGCTGCAGCCCCTGCTCATCCTCGTGGCCTCCTCTGGACTTGCTCCAGCAGCTCCATGTCCTTCTTATGCTGAGGACACCAGCACTGCACACAGTGCTGCAAGTGGAGCTGACACAGGGTTAAATTTGAGTTGTTCCAACAGTGGTTTCTGCCAAACACCACATAAACAGCACATTGTACCACACAGGCGAGATGTAATTACTGACTTCAGAAACACTTTGTCTTCAGTTATCAACCTTAGTGCTTTGCAGTGCAAGGTAGTTTTAAGCTGTAAACACAGGTTGTGTTCTTAAAGATTTGTAACTTGCAGTCAAATCAACAATGTGCTGATTGAATTTTTATAGTGCTTTTATCTTTGTTTTTGCATAGATTTATCATGGGAAAACTTGCAGCAACCTTTTTTTCTTGCAAAAACTTCATGTACTTCTTGGACATGAAATGTGTTCCAACATCTGCTAACTCGTGACTAGATAGTGTCATTCTCTTTACTATTGTTCGTTAACCAGAGAAGGAAAATTTTCCTGAACACAGGAAAATTGTGCTTTACCTTGCAAAGTAATTACGAGCTAGAAAGTGAAGTGAGATTTCATATTAAATACAACTTCTCAGGGAATTGGGCTGTAGAAATACCATAACAATTTTTGTCCAAGGTTACTCAGTGGGGATTTTCTTCTACCATGTCAAAATAGTTGTTTAAGGAAAAGCACAGTATCTGCAGAGTGAGTGCTGGCAGGCCAGCACAGCAATGAAGAGTAAAAACATAGGTGGACAATTTCCCTGCCCACCTTCAGTGGCTGCATTTAATTTTCACTTACTTGGTTTTACTGGTTTTGTTTAGAGGTGTTTCCTTCTCTATTTTCTTCAACTTTCCCACAAAGCTTAGGCCTGAAGCTGCTGATGAACTTTTGACTGTGGGTATCCAATATTGACCCTGTTGCAGTGTTTCAGTTCCTGACTTTTCACTTGATCTTTCTGTACAGTACAAGACAGAGGATGCAATGAAGTGATATATGTGTGTGTGTGTGTGTGTATATATATATGTATGTATATATTGGGGGGAAGAAGTGGAGTAGTGACCTTGAGAAATTCCTCCTAAATATGAAAATGAGCCTGAACAAAGTTCCTGAACAGCCGTTTCCAGTCCCTGCTGCTGCTTGCTGTAGGCATACCTAAGCCCACAGACCTGGACTGAGCAGAGGCTGAGGACTGCTTGAGATAAGTTACTAATCTGTGTAGTGCAGGTAGTGTTTCTGAACACGCTTTTACTTGGACCTGCAGGGGAAATAAAATCACTGCAATAATGGGCTCTAGTGGGATGGGAATGTCTTTTGATGTCTTCAAGTGAGTATGGTCTTTCCTTGGCAAACTTTCTCCAAGAAAAAAACGGGTGGAAAATCTTCCTAGCTACTTACTGCATTTAGTTTGTATTAGCAGGAATTGGTTAATAATTTGGTATCTTATGCTTCTTTTATGAACACTCCCCCCCCCCCCAATTAAATTATTAATTGTGACATTTCTTGTATGGGAATGCTTTTGCTTAACCTTCAAGATTGTAAGTAGTTTTGAGATGAGCAGTACAGGATTTTGATTAAGAAATTGTAACTGACACAGACTCAGTTCACTTTGATTTCTTTAAGACCAAGTGTAAACCACTTACCCTAAGGTTTGATAAACTCAATTTTCATTTTTGAGAGTATAACAGTTGTTGGAATTGCTTTGTCTGTTGTATACAGACAAATTATACAACATGAAGGGAATGAAGCTGTTGGTTTCTTTATTCTTTTTAATAAGCAGCTTTATTAAAAATCTAATTTTGAAGACATAATATTGACCTAAAAATGATTTAAGGTTAAAATGATTGGGGTTCTTCTAATGCCAACTTGTAAATGAAAGTTAATACTTGAATTGGTTATAACATAACAAAATTGAAGTCCTTCAGAAGTAATACATTTCAATTTCATTTTTCAAGTTGTTGGAGCTCTTTGATAGTGAAGACCCACGAGAACGTGATTTCCTAAAGACAGTTCTTCATAGAATCTATGGGAAGTTCCTTGGTTTAAGAGCATTCATCAGGAAGCAGATCAACAACATTTTCCTCAGGTATGCTCTGTGTGCGTGTGTGACCAGGTTGAGGAATATTTTATCTTGCCTTTATGGTTTCTTTGGGATCTCTGATCCTCTATTTTGATGTCTTTTTTTGGTAACAGGTTTATCTATGAAACAGAGCACTTCAATGGTGTTGCTGAACTTCTTGAGATACTAGGAAGGTAAGTTTGATCTGACAGATACAAAATGTTGTGGGTGTTTGCTTCTGTTTGCTTGCTTTGGGAATGGAGGGGAAGCAAAATACTACAGTAACGAGTGATGAAGTGCAGTCACTGATCTAATACTGTCTGGGTCACCATGTGAATATCAAATGAAGGTAGAGAGTATAAATTATTCTGTTTAGGTGCAAGTTTTACAGATGACTGACAAAATATTTCTCAAGGCTCCTTGTTTGTCAGGAATATCTACTCTTCCTTGTCTTGTATAGAATCATAGAATAGTTAGGGTTGGAAAGGACCTTAAGATCATCCACTTCCAACTCCCCTTGTTCTTGGATTCCAAAACTGAATGTTAACTTTTGCCCTTGTGCTGAATGAAATGCTTTACTCTTCAGCAGCCTGGTTTTCTTCAAATTCTATTCAGAAAAGCCTTGTGAGTGCTGGGAGGGGGGTGGGTGGGTTGAGTTTTGACATTATTTCACTAATACAATTTTTCACTTTGAAGGTTTTTATGGTAATATTTTACTCTGTCTCCAAAACTGTCACACACATTTTACAGTAGAAAACTTTATAAATATTACTGGTCCAACTGAAAATCCAACCATTGTGAAACTACTGTGGAACAAATAGTCACGAAAACCAAATGAAAGGAATGCCATTGTTTTCTCAGAGTTAGCTAGAATGTAGGGAGAAGAGAAACCCCAACCTCTTTCAGAAGGACTTTTGTCTGTTCTACAACTGATACAAGATTACTGAATCAGTGAGAACTTTTAAATGTTGTTTTTGGAGGGGAGGGTTGTTCAGCAGCCTCAAACTGCACTGTTAAAAGTTCCTTTGGAACATATGCCACAATGTCTCTTTCTCTGCAAGTGGCTTGTGGTTGTGGGTGGAATGGATCAGCTTCCTCCTGCATCTGTCTGAGCTTTACAGTTAGACAGCAAGACTTACTGTGGATGGTTTTACTTAGTCAAGGTCGCAGTCAAAATGCTTCAGCTCATCTAAAGAGTATTATTTGACTCCTGCTGTGGTTCTTGAGTATTCCTACCAAAAGTCTAAACTCTCATGATAGCTTTAAAGGTTATGCATATGTAGAGCTGTTTCATGGCTTCAAAATAACCAGGTTTAGAAATGGAATCAGAAATGGGGTGTCTCTCGAAGTTACATAAATTCTTGACTTGCTGGGAAAAATAGATTTTCATAAAAAATAAACCCTGCTTATTCCTGTTTTCAGTATTATCAATGGCTTTGCACTGCCACTGAAAGCAGAACACAAACAGTTCCTTATGAAAGTTCTGATTCCCATGCATACTGCAAAGGGATTAGCTTTGTTTCATGCACAGGTAAGCGTTTGCCTATTTTTAAGAGTTGGTGGGGGTTTTTTGTATTTGCATTTGAAACTAAGGAAATCTAAAGCAGGATGTGTTGTTCTGTCAATATTCCAAAATACTTGCAAATTCAGGCACTCTTAAAATAAATAATCTTACAGATCTTATGTCTAAATGTTAATTTTGAGATAATATTTAGCATATATTAAAAGTGAAAGAATGTAACAGTCAAAGTCATGTCAACTGAAGTGAGAAGCTTTCTTGCTTGCTAGTCTTGTCACACTTTAAGCTTCATTTAATCCCAGGACCCTGTGCTGTTATCACTTCCTTTATGTAACCTAAATGCTGTGCATAAAGGAACTTTGAGGATGGCCAGGTACATACTTCGGAAGTGCTTTTGTATTGCTAAAACCATACCAGTGCCAGGGAGGGGAGGGGAATGCTGGATATACATGGCAGGAATGTCTCTGGATTAATCCAGCTAGAAATTACGTAGATCCTGACACACTGTCAGAGTGCTGCAGTTCATTTGACTTCCATGCTTACACTTTGCACAGACATACAGCTTTTTATTTGAGGAATAATGTGTGTCCTTTCCAGACATATGGCACTTGAGTATTGAATCCATTTGATGCAGACTTGCAATTCTGCTGTGGCTAATTAAAAACTTGCTTTGTTAACTTAGCCACTAATACAGCTCCTTACAGACTAACGATATAAGGAAATGAGTTCCTAAATAAAGCAAAGTCATTATGACTGTAGAGTTACAAACAGGATTGAGTCAGAGCTCAAGTTAATTCCTGATTCTCCTATGAAGTTTTAAGTTAATTAAATCACTTGTCTTTGTGGCTTATTGCTGTGCAATAGGCTGCTCTATGGAATGAGTCACTGATATGGAAGGGACCAGTGGCTTGCCAAAGGTCCTCTCACTGGCAGGTCAGTACAGCAGACTGGCCTCTTTCCTGTGCTATGTTTGACATCACGTATGTTCATCACTACCTGAGAGAGCCCTATTAATTCAGCTGTACTGTGGACCCCAAAGTAGCATTTATCTTGCTGACCAGGCTACTCCCCCCTCCCTTCATAAAGCACTGTTGCCACATGCAGTTTCAGCATTGGGTGTTCTTGTTGTGTATTATCCTGGAGGTGGAGACCAGCATCACATCAGCTTTGCAGTCGGGGTGGTCTGGTTGCTTTGTACAGTACAGGTTTAGCCTATTCTTAAAAGTTAAAGCCTTAAAGTTGAATTAAGCTTGAGTCTTTGTGTCTGTGAATGGAGCATTACCACACAACATATGTAATGGGATTTTATGAGATTAAGGTGTGACATTAATTATTTGTTGAAGCTACGTGTATACATCCTTAGCCTAAAGGTAACAGAAATAAATTAGACCTGTTGTAATTACAGAATTGTAATTACCAGCTTTGGGATAACAGATTAAAAAAAAGAGAGAAAGGTGATGCTTGAATTCCAGCATCCTAAGTATTGAAATGTAAGTGTAGCACATGTCCATAATCTTCATCTTTGCTTTGTATTGCGAGATGAAAAAACCTGTGACTTCTTAAAATCAGTCTTAATGAAATCTGGCATTGTAACTACTTTAGTAATAGGAGTTCTGTATGGTTTCTGTGCTGGGCAGAGGTATGGTTGTTTAGTTAGTTGACTATGTGCTGAGTAACTGAACAACAAGTAATTAGGTAACATAAAATATCACACTTCGGCCTATGATGACTTTCCTGGGCAGGACTCACTAAGGCTGGGGGAAAATGTGCTGGGGACTTGATGACATTTGGCTTCCCCTGCTTCAGACACTCTTCATGGGTGTCTGTTGCTGGCCATTGCTCGGGACAGGCTGCTCAGCTGCCTCATCTCTTGTGGCCACGCAACACCTTCAAATGCTTTTGCCTGTAATCTCACTGCTGAATGTTGTGTGCTGGACATGTCTAGTACTTGAGCAATGTGTGCTCAGACAAACCTGTTACAAAACTTTCTTTTTTGACTGAAAATTCCACCTTTTTTACCTCTGTATAGATATTTGAAATTGCAGTTTTGTAATGTTAATACAGGAAATGTATCTTACTATGTATATTTAACATAATATGTTGAGGGGAAGTCTGTCTGGGTGCTGGATTTGAGTTAGGGAAATACCTGTCAAGCTTACAAGTAATTTTCTTCCAGGCTGGGGGGAGGAGGGGAAAAATAAAGGAAGGTTTTTGGTATGCAGGAAGCTTTAGTAGGGTAGAGCACGCCTGTGTATCTTGCTGCTTTAATTGCTGTTCTGTTTAGTTTGGAAGAACTCAAAATGACTGCATGGTGGGGTTTGGGTTGGGTCCCCTCTTGCCCTGATCTGAAGTGCTTCCATTGTAAGTTGTGATACTTGTTATACTGCAATGTCTAAACAGTGTCTGTTTAAACTAAATAAGCATCTGCCTTCCATTCTAGCTCGCCTATTGTGTTGTACAGTTCCTGGAAAAAGATACAACTTTAACAGAGCCTGTAAGTGTGTTTCTTCAGTTGGATGGTTTTCTATTTTTAATTTCAACTAAATATTGCCGTGTAAGTTGCTGGAGTTGTAGAGCAGCACTGTCTGTGCTGCCTTCATGAGCCAGAGGCATTTGGGGGGGTATTTTTAAATCTAGAACAGTGTTTGAAAGGGCAGTTACCTCTTAACCCGTGACCAAGATAGGGCACAAATGTAACTTGAAGTTCAAACCATCGGTATCATGCAAATCACCTCATATGAGAAAGCCTCTAACAACTGTCTTCCCTCTTGGTAACAAGTAGAATCCCACTATTTTTGGTGCTGGTGGCTTGTGCCTAGCTCCTGCATAAAGCTGAAATAGTTTAGGGAATAAACAGTCCCAAAATAAAAGTCGGAAAGAATAACACCACTTTATTTAGGCAGGAAGGGCTCTGAATTTCTGAATGTTCCTGTTCTGTCCCTTCAGTTCCTGGGGCACCTCTCAGCAGCTGTACAGGTGCTTCAGGCTCCTGCCAGGCTGAATCTCTGTGATGCGCAGTGACAGCTCAGCTCAGAGGGGTTTGCAGCACTTCTTTGTGCTGGGGCTTTGGCAATGCCTGTGAAGAAGAGCACAGGCTCGGGGCAGTGCAGCAGCTCACGGGGACACAGGCTGATGTCAGACCAGCCAGAACAGAACTGGGTTTAGTTGGGCACTTGGAAATCTTTCCATTAGGGGTATGTTGATGTTTAAATCCTTTCAGTTGATATTTAAATCCCTTTTTGTAACAGGAAAATGAAAAGTTATGCAAAATCTAAATTCTTCTGTAAAGGAAAAGAAAAGATGAGCAGTTTAGTGGGAACAGTGTGGATCTCCACTGGGATTGCAGTGGAAGCTTGTTTTCTGCACAGCCATTTAACCATAGTTTGGGTTGGAAAGGACATCAAAGCTCCTCCAGCTCCAACCCCTGCCACGGGCAGGGACACCTCACACTAGAGCAGGTTGCTCCAAGCCCCTGTGTCCAACCTGGCCTTGAACACTGCCAGGGATGGGGCAGCCACAGCTTCTGTGGGCACCCTGTGCCAGCGCCTCAGCACCCTCACAGGGGAGAGCTTCTGCCTTAGATCTAATGTAAATCCACCCTCTTTCAGATTAAAGTGGTTTCCCCTTTTCCTGTCCTTACATCCATTAAGTATTGCTGTTCCTCATCAGAAAAGTTACTCTGTGGGTGGTGGAAGGTGGCTGACCCAACTGTAAATGTGCCTTGTCTCCTTGAAGCACTTTCTTTCCCCCTGCACTGCAGTGTTGCCAGCTATACTGGTCAATAAGCTTATTTTGTTGGATAGGGCAAGAAAGGAATTGTGTGAGCCTTATTCCTTAAGCCAAGTGATAAAACCACCCAAGCATCTTGAGAGCTGACGTGAGCAGAAAATGGGTAGTATTACGTGGAGACCTGTGAGACTGAATGAACTGATCTGAATTCACAGAGCTGTGATGCAGGATCCAGGCCCAAGCTTTGACAGTGAAGAAGGCAGGGCTTTGGAAATAGGAGTGCCATGGTGCAATCCTGGGGCTCCATCTGGATGATGTAGCTGGTTCTGGCTGCCTCTTGGTCAGTAAAGGTAAATTCAGAACAGGGAAGGTTAACTCGCTGCAGAGTCACTGCCTGTGCTTGCTTTGGTCATTACCGTGAGCACACAGCAAAACTGGCTTTATAAAGGAATAAAAGTTGGTAAGATAAGGCAGAGCTCTGAAACTTTCTGAAATGCTTGAAAAGTCAATGTTGTATCTTGGGGCAACTGATGAGATAGCATCTGAAATTTTTCTTTGGCTTTAGGTCAAGTAATATTTTAAGAACCCCCTCAGCAGGCTGCCTCCACAAGTACCTTCCTGGTATTTTTCTGGCAGGGAGTGTCACTCTGGGTCAATTTAGAGGACATTCAGTGCAAGCTCTTGTAGCTATGGCAGGCTGCCTTAGGTCAGTCCTGATGTTTGCAGAGAAGCAAACTCCTTTTCCTTGACAAGAAGAGTTACCTAACCCTGCTCAGTGCAGTGGCCTTTACAATGAAGAAATCAGGCTAACCATGGGGTTCTTGTATGTAAGGTTTCTAGGCAGTGCCTGCTGGTGTAAGTCACTTCATGAGCTCAGGAAAGAATATTAAACTTATGAGTTTTGTGTAGTACGAGCAGCAAGATCTCAGCTCTGCATTCATGTCGAATGTTCCTTTGAATACAATCTTCGAACATAAATGAGCATATATAAGCTTTTCAGTAGGAAGGCATAGTCAAGCTGGAAGCTGATACTCTCTCTGAGGAGCAAGGAGTAAGTACCTTGTTGAGGTCTGCCCTCTTATACTCTGATCATGTCATTCCTTTATCAAGTTGAGAATATGAGTCTCTGTAGCAAAGTATATTCAACACTCTTACCATAAAATAAGTGCTGGAAACTGGACTCTTCCAGCTATCTCAGTTGTATGCTTTGAAGAGCAGTAAATTCATGTCCCAATTGGGGGTGTTTGGGTTCTCGCAGCCTTTCTTTGGCAAATGTGCTTGTCTGAAATTTTTTGGCTTGCTTTCATTGTAAGGGGGAAGGTGTTGGCAGAGTGAGCTATGATACCTGTAAATGTTGGGGTCTGTGCTTGAAAAACACAAAATCTCAATAGTGCATCACAGAGTCATTCTGTTTCCAGCCGACCAACAGTGTAATGGCCCTAGATTTAAAGTGTATTTACACAGACTCCTTCAGATCATGAATCCAGAGAAGCAAATGTGATTCATTTCTAGAAGTGAAGGATTGCCCCATAAGGTAATGGCAGTGAAACGGGGGAGCTCCACATTTCTCCTCCCCTTCTCAGACAAAGGCAAAGCTCTCGCCCATGGCAGCTGATTGCTCCTGCATCTGGCACTGGCGTTGGCCCTGCAGCTGCCCGCACCATTCAGCCAGTGGGTAGAACTGCCTGGTCCAGGCTCGTCTCTGGAAAGCCACTTGTGTAGCAGAGAGCTGTGAGCAGAGCAGCCAGCTGGGGAGATCAACATGGCAAAAAACAAATCAGGCTGGTTTGGGTTGAAGGGACCTTAAAGCTCATCCAGCTCCAACCCCTGCCACAGGCAGGGACACCGTACACTAGAGCAGTTTGCTCCAAGCCCCTGTGTCCAACCTGGCCTTGAACACTGCCAGGGATGGGGCAGCCACAGCTTCTCTGGGCACCCTGTGCCAGCGCCTCAGCACCCTCCCAGGGAAGAGCTTCTGCCTTAGATCTAACCTGAACTTCCCCTGGTTCAGTTTGAACCCATCACCCCTTGTCCTGTCGCTCCAGTCCCTGATGCAGAGTCCCTCTGCAGCATCCTTGTAGCCCCCTTCAGACACTGGGAGCTGCTCTGAGGTCTCCACGCAGCTTCTCTTCTCCAGGCTGAACAGCCCCAATGTTCTCAGCCTGTCTCCATATGGGAGCTGCTCCAGCACTCTAATAGCTGAGGAAGTTTTCCGGCTGGTTTGATCAGTTAGGTGCTGTGTCACAGAAAGAGAGGTCTTTGCCTCCAGTGAATGTTTCTAAGGCTCTGAGAATGTTTCTGCTTCTGAAACATAGAGTTACAGGCTGCTTTTTTTAGCCAGCATTAATTTTGTCATTTAGATGCCACGTCAGATGTTTGTTTCTAGGAGACAGGCCCCCAGCCTCTGTTTGTTGTGCCCCCCCCCGCTCCTCCTGGGGCTGTGCTTTCTAATTAAGCTTCCCAAAGGTTTTTTTCCAGTCCTGTGTAAGATCATTTCCAACACAGAAACACAGAAAATCTGTTATTTTCTGTGTAAATTCACATCTTTTCTTTTTAGTTTTCAGTCCTTAATATTTCACATTCCAGAAGAGCGGAGGAAGCGGTGGAGAGCAGTGGCTCCCCTGCAGTGCAGTCAGCATATACCGCTTGTGCTCGGGCTTCAGCCTTGATGCCAAGACAGGGGTTCCCCAAAGCACAGACAAGTGAAGGCAAAAGATATTATGGGAAATCCAGGTACAGGAGAGTTAAATTCATGGGGGTTTATCCAGTGTTACCAGGATCCTACCAATGTGTACAGTCATAGAACCACAGAGGTTCTAACGGGAGGTGCTCCAGCCTAAGGGGATGGGAGCCAAGCGTGACCAGATAATCAAAGACCTGTGAAATGATAAGGGTCTGAATTACTCTGATAACCTAAACCAGATGAATACTAAATGGGACAGCACAGTATATGATTTCAGTGGAGCTGCATTTAGCTGTATTTGGTTTTCATTCAACCTCTGGGTAAGGAAAAGAGGAAAAACAAACTAGTTTGGGGTGCTTTTTTGTTTTGTTCAGATCTTCTCAAATATGTAATAGAAACTTGTTCTGCTGTAACTTGTTTGTGTTTTTAATACAGGTAATCAGAGGACTGCTCAAATTTTGGCCAAAAACGTGCAGTCAGAAAGAGGTTGGTTTTGTCTCTTGTTTCTGGTGGTGTGGTGCCTGCTGTGTTGTGCAGGGTAGCGGGGCAGGGGCAGGCACCTCTGCTCTGCTTTCCAGGGGACCCTGCACCAATCTTGCACTTCCTGGAGCTTCTCGAGGTGCTTTGTCAGTTTGTCTGCCTGTTCTTGCTGTGGTGTTACCGTGTTAAACCACGTTAGAAGTTGTACTCCAACAAAGATACCCCATAGAGAAACTATTTTGAGGTGAGATGTCTCTTGTGAGGTACAGACCAGGTTGGAGGTAGTCACTTGCAACCTGACACTGATGTAGCACTTGAGATACCAAGTGTCTGGTGAAGAATGCGTATGTTCTTCTTCCATAGTACAAAAATAAATGGTGTTGGAAGTTCATCTTTTCTGCTTTCTTCTATGCAGTCAAAATGAGTTTGAAGATCAGGAGTTTGATTTATGCCACTAGATCCCACCCCCTGACAGCTCTTTAAGAGCAGGGTCCCTTTATGCCGTTGTCCCTCTTCCTGTGAGTGTTCATAGTCTCCTGTGCCACCCACCCTGGTGCTGGTTGTAATTTAAACCTGGAATTAACTATTTCTCACTTCATAAGCCCCTTTGGAGAGCTCTGGTGACAGAAATCCCTGCAGTCATGCTCGAAGATGCTGCTCTTCCAGGCTGCACAGAGCCCATGGCTGGCTGACACACAGTCACACACAGCGTTCTTGGCAGGGTTGCTGAGTTGATGTATGGGCTGTTTGGTTTGGTTCTGTTTACAGAGGCGATATAAAACACTCTCATGCTTTTTCATGTGTTTCTTTCATACCAACAGGTCATGTTTTTAGGTGAAATTGAAGAAATCTTAGATGTAATAGAACCGACACAGTTCAAAAAAATAGAAGAGCCTTTATTTAAGCAAATATCCAAGTGTGTGTCAAGTTCCCATTTTCAGGTAAAAAAGAAAGAGTATTAAAAGGGAAAAAACCCCAAACTTGTAGTAATTCTCTTTTTTTTGACCCCTAAACTTTGTGTTTCAGGTTGCTGAAAGAGCTTTGTACTTCTGGAATAATGAATATATCCTTAGCCTGATCGAGGAGAACATTGATAAAATTCTACCCATTATGTTTGGCAGTTTGTACAAGATTTCCAAAGAACACTGGAATCCGTAAGTAATGTTTAACTCCAGCTGTGGTACCAGAAATCAGTTGTCTGCTGGGTCAGGTTTGGATCAGAAGCTTGTAAATATGACTTCGTTTTGACTTAAATCAGATGAGCTCAGTGAGATTATGGGTGCTAAGTGCTTCTGGCAGTAGCATGTGTTCACTGGTCTGCAGTGTTATGATGGAGACCCGGAATTTCCTGGGAAAGTATGAGGAAATGGGATGCTGCTCTTCATCCTGTAATCACATTTCATCCTACCCCTTAATGAAAATTCAAATTAATATTACTTAGACCAAAATCATCTCCAAAGGATGCTTCTGCTGTATTTATGCTTTGCTGTCCTTTCCTGCTTTAGATCAACAAAATCCTGTCAGTGTCTCCATAAGGAGTTATTGCTGCCCAGTGGGATAAGAAGGGGGCAAGATACTCTCAAGAGAAGAGCAATGCCTACCACTGTAAAGGGTGGTAGTAAGAAATTAGTGACTACTTCACCTTATATTTAATGCCAAAAGTTAAATACTAGTGATTTTATACTGCATTTGAAGCAGCAGTAATCCCACTGAAATACTAAAGAGCGAGTTTGCTTATGTCCAGCATCTGGAATTGAGCTGCAAGTCCATGCGCAGGAGGTAAAGCTCATACAGGCAAAAGCCAGGGTAGACGGGTACTCCCACAACTCCAAAGTGAAGCTGGTGTCCTGCTTTAAGCCCTTGGAGGCTCTGAAATCATTCTGGATCTATCTAGGTGTGTGTCCAGTTGCAGGTATCAGCTGGGCCTGAATATAAATTTTGGAGAATCAGGCTGTTCCTTTCCGAAGGCCAGCACCCTGAGTCAGTTTGGTCTTCAAACCATGTGAAAGCCAGCGTTCAAAGAAAGCCAAGCCAGCGAAGGTGTGTGGCTGGGCTCAGTGCAGAGGTGTGCTCGGAGTGAGGGTAAGGCCTCTGATGTGCACCTGGGAGGTTTTAGAGTGCCTCAGTGGACAGAGCCCATTGAAAAGGCAAACCTGCACCTCTGGCTGCTTCCTTAGGTGGCTCTTTTGCTCTTCTCAAGGCTTCCCTGCCCCACAGCCTTGCAATCAATGCTGCTGAGTGCAGGTGAACTGCTGGTGAGGGAAAAGATGGGAAGATCTTTCCTCTTTTCATCAGTGATAAGCTTAATGCTGGGCACCTGCTTCATGTTCCATCTGATTGCTGGTTTTGCATCTCTCTGTATCACTGAGTGGGTTTAAAGGAGATAAACACCACAATATTGAAGATAATTTACTGAAAGACAAATGCTTGCACAAGAAAAGAGTAACACCCAAGGTGGAAATAGGGACAGCCGTGCAAGGCACAGCCTCTATTGCTCAAGCTGTTCAGTTTGTTCAGGGAAGGAGGGTACTGGGAACCAGTATCCAATGGTCACCACTCGATTCGTTAATGGAGTACGCATGAGCAGAGCTCCCTGCTGCCCTGAAACCTTCCAGCAGAGCTTTTAGTGAGTGTCTGAAGCCACGTGCCTGTGGTTCCTCTGCTGGGTTCCTCTGCCCAGGCCTGATGCTGTTGGCCAGGAGGAGTTTGATTTTTATTTTTTTTCCCCTCAACTCTTAAATTTTGTTACTCAAATACTATAAAATAGTTAAAATTTGATTTAAATGTTAACATCATTGAATGGCTTCACAGTACAGCCACAGCCCTGACAATTACACCCTGTGCAACGCCAAGAATCGGGATGTTAAGGTTAAACAGCCATTTCAGAGCATGTTTAAATGTGCAATTTACTGATTTTGAGAGGAAATGATAGTTGAGGATTTTGTTTCACAAATTCACTGATCTTTCAGTAGAATCTTCACCAGGAAGCTCAGCGTCCAAAAAGGAAACTGAGCACTTGTTTACTGAAGTGAGGCCTGTGTTGAGTCATGCTATGGATTTGTGTTCCTTCTGTTCCAGAACCATTGTGGCACTGGTGTACAACGTGCTGAAAACCCTGATGGAAATGAATGGCAAGCTTTTCGATGAACTTACAAGCTCATACAAGGCAGAAAGACAAAGGTACCGACTATTCTTCTTCCACACACGTTTGATGAAAAGAAACAGCTTACCTGGTGTGGCTGGGGGGGTTCTGTAGTGGAACTGCCCAGCAGGGGAGGGTCGCAGCAGGCAGGGCCCAGCTTGTCCTGCACCGGGGCAGGGAGCCCCCACTGCTGTGAGGGGCTGCCTGGTGCTGGGGTGCTGCTCTGGGGGGGTTGTCTGAAACAAGCTGAGCTGCAGAATACTTCATGGCTCAGCTCTGACTTCCCCCTCGCCCTGCTGACCTGCTCTGCAGAGCTGTGGGAGCAGGGAGGTGGGGAGCAGGGCGTCCTAGGCCCGCACAGGCAGCGTGCTGTGTGTCCTGGCAGTAGCTCACACAGCCACACTCCAGCAGTTCTCTGGGGCTGCTGGAGCAAAGTTAGAGTTTTGCCACAATCAGTTACCAGTTTGTGCACTCGCTTTTTAACAGAGGAAACTGTAAGTGCCACTAAAAATAGCTTTGGAGAAGAACGGGAGGAATTATGGGCCTACAAGGATGCTGGAGAGGGACTCTTCATCAGGGACTGGAGCAACAGGACAAGGGGTGATGGGTTCAAAGTGAACCAGGGGAAGTTCAGGTTAGAGCTAAGGCAGAAGCTCTTCCCTGGGAGGGTGCTGAGGCGCTGGCACAGGGTGCCCAGAGAAGCTGTGGCTGCCCCATCCCTGGCAGTGTTCAAGGCCAGGTTGGACACAGGGGCTTGGAGCAACCTGCTCTAGTGTGAGGTGTCCCTGCCCGTGGCAGGGATTGGAACTGGCTGGGCTTTAAGGTCCTTTCCAACCCAAACCAGTCTGGGATTCTAGGAGATGTAAACTGTGGTTTTTAATTAACTGTGTCTCCACATCACACTTCAGACACATCTGAAACTGATACCTCGCTCTTCTCTGCAGAGAGAAAAAGAAAGAGTTGGAACGTGAAGAGCTGTGGAGAAAGCTGGAGGAGTTAAAGCTGAAGAAGGCGATGGCAGAGAAGCAGAACAGCACCCACACCGTGCTCAACGCACACAGCACAAGTGCCAAGTAACAGCCGAGCGCCCCTGCTCGGCAGACACACACTTTTTGTACCCTTTTGAAATACGTAAGGATTTGCAAGAGGAACCTCATCAGAGTAACAGCAGCAGCAGCAGCCACTTTTATTTCCCTCTGGCAATTGTAAAGATCTGAATTTCAATACAGCAGTTAAGTGATGTCATACCACAGCATATTGTAAACCTGTCTGATTATCGGTATCCTGTCACCTCCAACGTTTCCTAGGCCTGAATTAGCATCCTTTAATGAGTGAAATTCTTACGGGAGTGGTGAGAATTATGACTTGAATTTCTGATTGTGTTGCACATAGGTGGTAGAGTTTGCTCTGTACACATTTTTCCTTGTTTTCTATGTGCTTTTCACATCGCTGCATACTTGGGTTAAGACAATAGAAAAGGCTTCTAGTTGTGCTGTATTTTCTCAAATAAAACCAAGGTACGTTACCAGTAACTCGAGATACTCAGTATGTGCCCCTGGCAGCAGCAGAAGGAACTGGGCTACGGCGCTCTCCTTGAAGTCCTGACTGGTTTGGGATCTAGATTTATCTAATGCTCATGTTAGAACGAGGCAAGGTAAGGAGGGAAAGTCAACGGTGCTCCGTGTGTCTAAGCTACCCCTTGGCGAGTGCCTCCACCCCATTCTTGCTGCCTCCTGGCCTGGGCTACTTAGAGATTTCCTCCTGCTACAGCTGAGAATGGAGTTCCCTCGAGCCCATCAATGATGCTCCTCACCAGCCCGAGGCTGCCCTGCGGAGAGGTGCTCTGGGATGTCTCTGCATTAGTTTTAGCATCTCATGGACTGAAGAACGAGACCAAAATTGGGATTATTAATTCTTTCTTTAGTAAGGAGGGATGTCAATAAATAGTTCCTTGTTTTCTTTCAAGAAAATGCAGTCTGTTTCTTACCAGTGGAAAGCTGACAATAGAAGTCTTGTCTGTTTACTTGATCAAGTATTTTTCACATCTTTTATCAGAGTACCATTCCAATCTCTTAAATTGCAGTTATGTGGAAAACTTTTGTAATGAAAGACCTCTGGGGAATTGAGCAGCATTCAATAAAGTCTTTATGTTTGTATTTAGTGCTGTACATCACATCTTTGTGTTCATAAAGACCAGGAGAATTAGAAGAGCTTTTACAAACCACCTTTAAACCACCCCAGTCTCTGACCAATCTGTGGCAGGAGGGTTGGAAGGAGGTGAAGGCTGCTGGGTTGCAGGTCTGGTGAGTAGGGTAAAATCTGTAAAATCTGCCATGATTTGCTCTGGAAATGAGCTGAAAGTAGATTTTATAGAATCACAGAATCACAGAATGGTTTGGGTTGGAAAGATCATCCAGTTCCAACCCCCGGCCACGGGCAGGGACACCTTCCACTAGAGCAGGTTGCTCCAAGCCCCTGTGTCCAGCCTGGCCTTGAACACTGCCAGGGATGGGGCAGCCACAGCTCCTCTGGGCACCCTGTGCCAGCACCTCAGCACCCTCACAGGGAAGAGCTTCTGCCTTAGATCTAACCTGAACTTCCCCTGGTTCAGTTTAAGCATTTGTTCCCAAATGCTTCCTTAGAAGGCCAAAAGGAAATGGGGGGTACTTACTGCTATATTCATACTCTGTTAGTACAGGATGGAAGCAGCAGAATACGACTTGTCCTGCTCCTTTCCTTGCACCAAAGCCTTTGGAGCAAACACACCACAGGTCCCTGCTGCCCTGTCTCCTCCACAGGTCTGAGCTGGGCACCCAGACTAATGAGGGACTTGAAGCAGCCCCGCGGCCAGCACGGTCAGTGAGCACACACTGCTGGGTAGTGCAGGAGCACAGCCAACTGCCCGGCTCCTGAAACACCTTTCCACTTCCTCAGCAAAGGCTGGGGGAAAGAGGGAAGAGCAGCAGCCTCGGCCAGACTTGGAAATCCACCCTCAGCTCAGATGCCCAAGTTTCCTTTGAGCTGGACCCATCAGGACCAGGTGTTTGTTCCTCACCTCACCCTCCCGCAGTATTCTCCTGCCTGGAGCGCTGTGAAGCTGAATGTGGGCGCAGGTGCCTTCAAACACTGCACACAGGAACTTCTTGGAAGTATTTTTTTAATATTAAAGTCACTCTACTTGGAATCAAACCCAATAGAATTCCAGTGTATTCTGTTACAACACACACTTTAGAGAGGGGAGCCCAGACTGCTGTTGAGTGCTTTACCTTCCACTGAACCCCGTCACAGCAGTAACTGTGTGAGGGGAGCAGCTGCAGAACACAGCTCCTGCAGCACTTAAATGCTGACCGGTGCCAAGTCACATCCAAACACTGCCCCTCTTTCCAAACCTTAGCCACAGGAGTGCTGATTTTCTGCCCATGGCTGAATTCTCTCCCCTCCCTCCTGGTCCCCCCCAGTTTGAGGTACACTTGTTAAATTTGGACTAGAAAAGCGTGAGTTGGTTAGACCTGTCCTAGAGTTAAGCTCCTGTCTGAAGTTCAGAGGCCAGTTCCCGAGGCTGCTCCTCCAGCCGTGGCTGTTCTGGAAGCGAACATACCTGGTGCTCAGCTGTAATTGCTGACTGAAGTTTATTCCAGTTACTCTCTCTCCGTCCCGCTGTGAGCAGTTCAGGGGCAGCCTGTGGGGCTCAGTTTATGTGGTTCCTTACTTGGTGACTCCTCTTCAGATGTCTCTTTCGGATTTTGATCATCCACTTAACACTCAGCTTCGCAAAGTCCGCTGCCTTGAACAGAGCCAGGAAGATACCACAGAGCAGAGCAATCATGTTCCAGGGGTTTGCTGTCACAATCTGAAAGAGATGAAAAACATTATTCCCCTCATCTGACTCAGCATCTCTTATATACCTACTGATGTGTTCTGCAGCTTATTCCTTTATGCCGCACACCTCATGCCATGGTTTTCCAATTCCTTCCATCAGGAAGAAGACACACTGTACCAGCTGCAAGATTCCTTTTAGGCTATTTAAGGATCCTGAATTTAAAACTTTAGAGATAGTTACATTGGTAATTTTAAGATTATAGATTTAAATTAATTGCTTGCTTTTTGTAAAGAACTCCTTCAGAAGTTCCTCCAGAAGACAAAGCACAAAGCAGCAGTGGAGCACTAAACCAGCCTTTGACAGCAGCATCTCCTGCAGACTCAAGCATTTGCTGTTTCTAGTTACACTTGGCTCAAGAGTAGTTACGTTTGTTCATAGTTTATGATTCACACCTCTAGGCCCAAGGATGACTTGTAGGATCTGAGGTGGTGCCAGCAGAGCTCAGCTTAGGCAGCAATGAAGTGGGGCACAGCTTCGGGATGCGCCATGGAGTCTGCAGCTCCATTGATCATCATGAGTGTGGTGTGAGCACCCGAGCCAGGAGGCCTCAGCCAGGCTTTGTGTGTTGTTCACCTTCCTGACAGTGCACCAGGAACTGAGCACTGGCTCGAGGCAGCTTTCAGCTGGAGGGAGGCAGCGGTGGGAGCCCTGCCGGGCACAGAGCAGCAAGAGGAGCGGGGATGGGAGTGCCAGGGAGGTGCCTGCAGAGAGGAGGGTGCTGACCCCAGCACGGACACAACAGCAGGAGGGCAAAGGACCAACTCCCTGCTCCTGGTGCACGAGCACTGGGGTCACACTCTGCTCTGGGGCAACAAAAACAGACCCATGTGGTGCAAGTGTTCACACCCCGTATAGATGAGGCCTCAGTGCCAGGGGTGGCCTTGGCAGTGCTGGGGTAAAGGTTGGACTGGATGAGCTTAAAGGTCTTTTCCAACCCAGGTGATTGTGTGATGGACTCTGGTTGTCAGATGGGGCCATTTAAAACACAATGTATTAAGCAGGTTTCCTCTGCACACTTTGCCATTCTATATTTTTAGGGGAGGGCAAATGTATCTGACCTTCCCCTGCCCCAAACACCAGGAAAACAAGATGTAGCTCAGGTGCTTAAGGCACATATACCTGCAGTGCCCTCCTGCGTATCTTTTAAGCACTCCAGGGCCTGCCCATGGTCTCACCTGGCCCATGGAACACACTGAGCTCGATTCTGAAGCGCATTTTTGCATGTGAATGCAGTACTGAATTCTAGTAACAAATACGAGCTACACCAGGCTATTGCTATTGTTCTGCTTCGAGCCGAGGTTTCTTGCTTGACAATTAATCAAAGTCATTAAATCAGTTTATCCAAGCACACTTGTTTAAGCAAAAAAGTTCAGGCTTGACCTGAAACTACTCTGTGCTGTACGACAGAGACGTGCTTTTTTCTTAGCTACAGGTACCTCCAGCTGCAAACAGAACACTGAGTGTTCCCGAGCCAAGGAAAGGCATCGGATGGTCTTGACCTCTGCAGAACATGCATTACTGGATATAAGGAAGAGCCTAGACTGACACTGCAGCAGCAACCTCTCACTCTTCCTCTGAGTTTCTGCTTGGAATGAGGTACCAGAGGCATGGGCATGCACAAACCACGAGCGTGGGCAGTCAGCGAGTCAAGAAGGGACTAACGTGATACTCACATCTTGCACAGTCTGTATGAAAGGATCTTTCCATTCGAACACCACAAAAAACAGCTGGTCACTTCTTGGTTTAGTTCTCTGGTCAATGTAGTTCACCACGCTGGTCTGGGGCGAGGGGAAAAGAGACAACAAAGGTGCAGGTTACCTGCTGCAGTGCTGTAATGAGTCTGCTGTGCCACAGAAAAGGCTTGGAAGAAGGTGAAAACAGCAGGCTGCTCAGGGGCTTCCAATTTAGCCTCCCTCTACCTGGAACAGCAGGCTCCCAAACTATGGGAAGGGATGTTTCTTCCATCTCCTGTTCATACTCTTTTCCTGTTTCTCACTTAGTAAACCCCTGCAATACCATTTTCACACCAGTAGCCAGGGGCCTAATTTTATCACATAGATTTTCCCTTTTAAGGGGGTGAAACTTCATTTACAAATACTTGGAGTAACAGAGCACTTGGGAAGTCCCCGGGAATGAAGGCCAGGTTACCTCTATTTACCAGAGAACTTTACAAATACTTCAAGATCCTGTCAGTCTCCTCCACACACCCCGCCCTGACCAGATTATAGGCTGCAAACATGTCGAAGCAGGAGCTAGAACACTACTTGTGTCCATCCAGAGCACACGGGAGCTTCACCACCTTGTGTTTTCTGGTCCAACACCTTTGCTGCAGCTCTACCCTGTACTTCTACAGCTCATCTATTTCCTACAGCACCCCAGCTGCACTCAGCCAAGAAAACTGTGCACCAGGAACAAGGAGTACACAAAGCTAAAGGAAGGCAATGGAAAAGGAAGGAAAGACCAAGTAGTGACTGCTGGGCTGGTTAGCAGACTGACCAGCTGTGCTGAGTGACCTAGTACTTGTACCCAAATTCCTGGTATGGTATCTCCCAGCTTTAGATTTGAGAGGCTAATGGACTTCCTTATGCAATTTGAGCAGACAGACTGTCAAACAAAGCAAGTGCAATTTATATCTGAGCTGTTTCAGCTTCTACTATATTATTAACAGGCACCTGAGCCCCAAATTCGCATTTGTGCTGATTCCTATTTCCTAGGTTTTATTAGAAACCAAAGCAACCAACCCCCAAAACAAACCAAAATCCCCCCCAAAAATTCGCATTTGTGCTGATTCCTATTTCCTAGGTTTTATTAAAAAACAAAGCAACCAACCCACAAAACAAACCAAAATCCCCCCCAAAGCCAACCCAGCATTCACCAGCTGGTCAGAGCCTGTAACTGCTGGACTAAATGGATGTTTATGGTCACAAAAACCTCAGCTTTTTCAGAGTTTGTCTCAGCCTTTTGTTTCCACTTTGAGACATGTAAGACTTGGGCACTGGTCTGCCCTTAAGGCTTTGCCACATAATGCCCTACCAGTGAGAAGTGAAGACAGGGGAACTGAAGGGTCTGCTTCATTCTGACCTCCACAAAGTACTCCTTCCAAGCGTACCACGGAGTAAGACCAAGTGTAGTCTCTGAAAGATACACTCTCTGGAAAGGGGTAATGCTCTTCACATTCTCCCTTCTCACCACTGAGGATGCTTCCCCTCCAACCGACACTGAGAGCAAGGTAAAACACCCAAACGACAGTTCTTTTCCTGTCCATCAGTGTGAAAAGAACAGGAATGAAAGGCAAACTTGTTTCACCTCCAGCTAAGTCTGCATCTCCTACCTGCATATTTTCTAGTTCTAAACGATGCAAGAAGTTAAGTTACACCATGTTTCTAAGGATACTCAACGCTTACAAATCCCGAACAACAAGCAGGCACAAGAATGCTACGAAACATACAAGGCTTATGTTTGCCTCTTCATCCTAACATCAGCCCTTGTGACAACCAATTCCTCTTCCCACTACTGGCTGTTATTTAGACAATTCCTTTAGCAGTTGTTCCCCACCTCGATCTAAAGGAAGCCGTGTTAATACCGCTACACTGGCCTCTTCAAACCCTTACCTCAGACTACAGGATCACTTATACAGCCACATTCAAGGCCTGGATTGTCTGGCCTCCCCATTAGGAGATGTTTGCCTGAGGTGTGTCACGAGGCCACACCAAGAGCTGAACACACCGAGACGTTTAGGCTGTTACAGAACCTCTCCCTGTTTAGAATGGAGAGTGTAACTGCACAGCCAAACCCGCCCCGTGGTGCATGGTGGAATGGATGCAGTGACACAAAACCCAAGCTCCTGATGTTTCTCTTAACCAGCCAACCCACCCTTCTTCCAACTCATATTGCTGTATGCCCCAAGAACTGGGTCAGTTGGCCAGTTAGCATTGAAATCGTTGCAGTAACTAGTTCACAGCAAACTAAGACATCCCAAACCACTCTTCCTGAGTGGTTGGTTGGGTTGGGTTTTTTACCTCTTGTTTGAATTCAACAGTCTCGCTGCCATCTTCTTCTTTTGTTTTCACCAAGGACATCTTGACCCAGGTTCGAAAGCCTCCGGAAAACTTCCAGCTGGAATATGAACTTTCACAGTTCTTCATGAATTCTGCTTTTTCTGGACTAAAGGAAAAAGACCATCACTTCACTGACCCAGCTCAGAGCAGCACCTGAGCTTGGTAGGTACTGCTGTAGGCAGGAGGATGTCAGACCTACAGGCACTTCAAAACATGTTCAAAATCCAACTGCTAAAATTCAGCACATCTAAAACACTGCAAGCAGTGATGTTGGGATTAGTGACAGCACTTGGGTTCTTACCTGCAGAAGCACATGAGCTACCTGGTGCCCTACCACTGCCCTGGGGTTCTGCCTGCTCCTAGGGGCTGTTATAGGGGAGTTCATTCTGCTCATCTCATCTCTGGGGCAAAGGAGCAGAGCCAGGACCCCAGGAAACAACTCACCCTAATGCAAGAGGTGGAAGGAAGAGTCTAGAGGCAGGGCATGCTGCTTCCCCCACTTCTGGGATGCAAATAAACAGGTGGCAACGCAGACATACTTAAAATGCTTTGCCGTTTCTATTTGGTGTATTCCCACTATTCTGGTGTTATTTGGCAATACCATGGCTGTGTTCCAGTAGCCCCAAACAGCAGGATTGCTTCGTGCCTTGCTTTTAGATACAGTGAGCGTAAGCCACTGTAAGGTGTCCCTCATGCTGCAAGTGGTAAGGAGGCAGCTCCAAGTCATCTGTGGTGTCCATCCTTCTGTACAAACTGCACAGGATGCAGTGAATGAACCGTGCTGTTTGCTTGGAGCTCCTCAGCACCGGGGTTTTGGCCACTTTCACATCATCTGCATGAAATAAGCCTGGCCCTGCAGCTGCTTTTTCAAGAAGGTTTCATTTGAAATGAAGGGGGAAACCACTGTGATGAGTCAGGAACCATTAGAACACAGACTGCTGAGCTTTACTAAAGATGGATTTCAGGCTGCAGAGATGTATCAGGGTCCTTGAGACAAGGGAAAGGATTCTGACTCAGAGTAAATCCACCTCCCTGGGTGAAGAGTGTAATTTGCTTCTATGACAGGTCATAGAATCACAGACTGGTTTGGGCTGGAAAGGACCTTAAGATCACCCAGCTCCAACCCCCTGCCACGGGCAGGGACACCTCACACTAGAGCAGGTTGCTCCAAGCCCCTGTGTCCAACCTGGCCTTGAACACTGCCAGGGATGGGGCAGCCACAGCTTCTCTGGGCACCCTGTGCCAGCGCCTCAGCACCCTCACAGGGAAGAGCTTCTGCCTTAGCTCTAACCTGAACCTCCCCTGGTTCAGTTTGAACCCATCACCCCTTGTCCTGTCACTCCACTCCCTGATGAAGAGTCCCTCTGCAGCATCCTTGTAGCCCCCTTCAGACACTGAAGCTGCTCTGAGGTCTCCACGCAGCTTCTCTTCTCCAGGCTGAACAGCCCCAATGTTCTCAGCCTGTCTCCATACGGGAGCTGCTCCAGCCCCTGCTCATCCTCGTGGCCTCCTCTGGCCTTGCTCCAACAGCTCCATGTCCTTCTTATGCTGAGGACACCAGCACTGCACACAGTGCTGCCAGGGGGGTCTCACAAGGTATACGATTAGGTCTGATGAGAAATGAAGGTATTTTGGTCTTTCAGGAGAAAGACGCAACGATGAAAAGAGGAAAGGGCTGAGCTGAAGCAGCGAGCTCTTGTCCCCAAGAACAGATCTGTCCTGTGCTAGCACTGACCGGGCTTTACATCTCAGAGTTGTGTGGTTGAAGCCCTGGCAGCAGAGCAACGGCTTTTCGAGGTTTTGCCTTCCTGTGAAGGTGTGTATGTTCATGTATTCAGCCCAAGCAGGCAGCCTAGTACAGAGCAGCCATCAGTGTGTATTCTTTGTATCAGTCTGCACTATTGCTGCCTTGTAGATGAGGCATCTTGGTTTGTAGGAAGAAAAGGAGCCCTAATTCTGGAAACTAAGGAAAAAAAGACAGGAAAAGTAAAAATTCTGCACACAAACAGACAGGAGAAGCGTTTCTGGAAAGAAAAACTAACACACTTTGCCCATCAGGGCAGAAGATATTCCAAGAGTGATTGTCCAAGTCAGGACTATCTTTATGTATTTGTAACATTAGGTGCCTGTTCAATGATCCCGACACAACGGCAGGGCACCACAAGGAAGATGTGGGCAAAGCTTCAGCACAAAGCCCACTGCTCCTCACCACACAAACTGATGACACGGGGAGACCTAACGTGACAATGATTTCTTCCCCCTGAGCTACGTGGGTGCAGCAGCAGCTGGTGGGACAGGAGGAAAAACACAGCTTTGCCACTCAGGGGAACATACGGAATCAGCACTCTGCCAGCCAGTCATATGCCTAATGCCTCACTAAATACAGCATCCTAGAAAGCCTTTCCAAACCAACATGGAAAATTGAGGCAGGAAGTTATGACACAGAGCTGAACGCTGCAGCCACAACTTCAATGGTAGGCAGGCAGCAGTAGTATACTTTGCCTTCAGCTGTAATTGTAGGCTTGAAAAAGAAAGATTAATAGTATCTTAGCAGAAGCTGTGCAGAAACAATCTCAGATGGGATCTCTCTGCATGTGCCCATAACCCAGACCACTGCCACGGAGTCAAAAGAGAGGCAAAATCTTTGCACAAGTAATAGCAGAGGGCAAACAACACAGCTTGAAACCCACACGCACTCAGTGAACATGATACAGGCATTTTAAGCTGAAGACCAATTCTTCAGGCAGTTTCTTTTTACTCCTTCTTCACCCCAAAGACAACTTGCAACGGCTGCACATTTGTTTGCTTTGTTCAGTAAGTTCCCTCTTACATGGTCCTTTACATGTATGGAATACCCTGCACCAGGCTGCCCCGGGATATTAACTGCAGCTCAAAACCATGCCAGAATTCCTACATCACAGAGAGAAAGGCACGTGCACGAGGCCACTGCCTCACTCAGCCCCAGCCTCCTCTCAGCCAGTGCTCCCTGGTAACCACTGCCCAGCACAGACGGATCAATGTCAGACCATGACAGATGGGATCTGTCCCAAAGCTGGGAGTTACTATCCCAACTCCGGACTGGGCTGTAGCGCTGCAGTGCATCCTTCTAACTCCAATCTCCATGGACCAAGACACAGGAGCCAGAGGCAGCTTAGGACATCCCGCCAGTGCACCAGCAAGAGCCAAACCCACAGACGGGTCAAACCCTGTTTGTGTTTACTGCCTTTGCTTTTCCCTAGACTGAGAAGCCCTCAGCCAGCCACGGGGTCTCGTACAGGTTCTGATGGTGTAGTACCAGCAGTCTTGACCCTTCTATATTATAACTTACTTCTCTGCACACAGCAATCCAAACCAGAGACATGAACACGGAGCTTTGCTTAGACCCTTAAAACAATCTCTGATCTGTTCAGAGTGGTATTCACCATTTCACATGACCAGAAGTTATTTTACATGCTATGCTAACAATAGTTTTGTCAGTAATGCGCTCAGAGATTTTCCTCTTAAACCCATGTATTATCCTAATGACAGTTCAGGAAAGGAACTTGTATTTTTAGATACACTTTTTTGGTAATTTGCAAGGGTTTCATTATTTCCTTCCCTCCAATTAATATGGTACAGACAGGAGCTGCTGCTGGCTTAAAAACAAAAACAGAAAGGACAAGAAAGGCTATATCCCTCCAACTCACAGGCCAACAACAGCACTCAGTTCAGTGGTGTTCTGTGAAGGCCAGAACAAAACTAGCAAGCAGTGCCAATTTCATTGTAGTGTGTCCATCCAATTTTAACAGAAGAGCTGCAGAAAATAAAACCCTTGACACAAAGAACTGGACCTTACTTGAGTCCTCACCACCTGCTGTGCTTCAGAAAACAAAGATACAAATCTCTAGATGCCATTTTTATTAACTGCTTATGGCTGATGCTTGCAGCAGCCTTCACTGATATGATTATTGCTGTTTAAAGCAAAAGCAAGCTGCACATAGTATTGCCAACACAGACACTGTGGGTAGATACAGCAAGACTCTTCTCACCAGTTTCAAGGGGGGTTGTACTGTGATTTTAGATGATGGAATCCCTTCACATATCTTTTACAGCAGTCTGCCTGCCCAGCCCAACCTAAGCCCTTTGCAGCCATGGCAAAAAGCTGTCATGATGGTAACTCAGGAGTTCTAGCATGTATCTCAGCATCTTTAATAGCACTTCACATGAATTGCTGGACACAGTGCTGGGAATATGCTCACATAACCAGGCAGTGAGACACCTGGTCTGGAAAAAGTAGTTAACAGTGGCCAGTACCTGAAGTTTTCAGAGGCACTATGGAAGGACTCACAACAGTTCTTACATGTATCTTAGCCCAGACTTCCCTTCAACTAAACTTAGCATCTGCTGATGAACCAGAAATCATTTCTATTTTCTCTTCTGCTGGAAGCTGGGCAGGATGAGAACGTTCCACATATGCAAGTGGTTTCACTTCAGAGTCAGGAGAAAAGGTAAACTTTCAAGCTGCCCTGAGCCTGTCCAGCTCGGGCCCTGGGACACCAGCACAGCAACACACAATACTGAGCAAGACAAGCCATACAATTTGCACCAAGCTTTGAAGGATGCTACAAGACACACTGCTGGCCTCCTGTGCACAACTGCTTCTCTTACTGCATTTCACCTAGACATGCAGATCATTTACCACTAAGTTTAAAGGCCTATGTACCTTTGCCCAGTTTACCATTATCTGGGTTAGTTCAAAACCAGTTTCAACACACATTCCTACTACTTGCTGCAAACAGGCACAAAGGATGTATCCCCAAACAGGCACCACCATTTCCTACCTTTCCACTTCACTCCAAGGTAACCCAGCCTTCACTCTCCCAGCTCCAGTTGTGGTGCCTTCTAACACCAAGACAAGGCAGCTTCTCTAGGAACAAAGCAACACATCCCCACCTCTTTGGGGACTCATTCTGCCATCTACCTGGTTTGAACTGGCAAACCTGGAGACAGGAGGTTGTGACTGAGGTTCTCCCAGGCAGCTTACAGATAGTTCTTACTGATTCACCTACACTAGCTCAAACACAGCCTTGAAGCTAGGACTTTTTCTGGACAGCTTACTGCTGTTCTGCATGTCCCTCGTACCTCTGCACAACATGTGGCACAAGCGTTTGGGACAGCACCATGCAAACTCACAGCCTGCTTGCAGAAATCCTGCCAGCTTAAATAGGACATACATGTTTTAACTTGGGAAGCAGCAGCTCTTTAAAATGGCTTATCTGCAAACTGACACAATGAGCACAGAAACGTGGCTTCCAAGACTTGGCTATGCACAGACCAAGTTGTATCTTGGCAAGTTGGCTCATCCTGCAAAGAACCAGGAACCAGATGCAACACAACTGTGCCTTCTGTTCTGTGTTTCATGGGGTTCTGTCTCAGACAGTGTCTTGCAGCATAGAAAGAGCTGTGCATCTAGCTGTACATACCACTAACCACAGCACAAGCCACAAAACCCGAGAAAAAACAACACAAGAACAGGTCACACCTTTTACATCACTACTCTTAACTGGTATTTTCTCACCCTAAAACATCAATGCCTAAAATACGTGGAATATTAGCATTTTATGAAGTGGTTTAGTACAGTTAAAAGAAGTATTTCATGACTTAAGAGCTCTCCCTCACTGAAATAAAAATGCTTTGTAAAAAGCAAATTCATACCCTTGATCTCTGGCCACCCAGAGCTCCTGTGACTGAACACTTCCAGTCTTTGCTTCATCTGAAACACACCAGTACCATCATGTCCAAGACTCCAAAAATGCTTTTCTGCATTATAATCTGCTACTTCTCTTCCCCTCCCCACCTAATTCTGTTCTGCTTAAGGCCTTTATCCCCTATCCCTTTTTCACTGAGCATCTGACTATTACCAGGTTAAGGCTTTCTATTAGGTCTCACTGTGACTAATACCTTGCCTGGTTTTTAATCTGGATCACAGAGAGAACAGTACATAATTATTTAATTTTTGCTTTAATTTAAATTCAAGTATGAAACTGATTCTCACAAGGTGTGCAAAAAGTGGGGGCTTTCAAGAAAGGTCATGACAGGATTTGCGCAGAGACCTCAGAGCAGCTGCCAGTGTGTGAAGGGGGCTACAAGGATGCTGCAGAGGGACTCTGCATCAGGGACTGGAGCAACAGGACAAGGGGTGATGGGTTCAAACTGAACCAGGGGAAGTTCAGGTTAGAGCTAAGGCAGAAGCTCTTCCCTGTGAGGGTGCTGAGGCGCTGGCACAGGGTGCCCAGAGAAGCTGTGGCTGCCCCATCCCTGGCAGTGTTCAAGGCCAGGTTGGACACAGGGGCTTGGAGCAACCTGCTCTAGTGTGAGGTGTCCCTGCCCATGGCAGGGGTTGGAACTGGATGAGCTTTAAGGCCCTTTCCAACCCAAACCATTCTACAGTTCTATGATTCTATGATTCCAGTCCTGCTAAAATGCAAAGGTGGATCAGTCACTCCAATAGCACCACTGCCAAACCAATAAAAAGCAAATTTTAAAACCCCACCTATGCAATTACACTGTTCTGTAGAATCTTACATAAAGCTCATAATGCAAAACAATACAGCCAACCTTCCAATGAAACCACAACAAATCCATCTCGGGATCTGATCTCTGCCTCATCCGAGCTACAAAAAGCCCTGCTTTCACTAGTTTTGTTGCAGCTAGTTCAATGCAGTTAACAGGCTCAGCCCTTTACATACCTGTTGATGAACTCTTGGAAAGATGAAAACAGAAGGTAGTCAATGGCACTAAAATCCTGGTCTGTTCCGTTTAAATGAAACTGCAAAAACACCAGTTCCTTTTTCTTCACATCACGAGGGCCTTGAACAACCAAAGCATACTTCTGTAAGCAAACAGAGAGGTGGTGAGAGTAGCAAAGGAATCCTCATGTCCTGTTCATGAATTTGCCATCTGTCACTCGTACTGTATAGAAATAATACACTCTGAGATTTTCTTGGCTGCTACTAAGTATGCCCCTATTAAAATACCTAGGAATGCCAACTGGATCCTTCCTTTTAGTTTTAAGATGAAGCCTTTTCATCAACATTTAGTGTTTTTCTAGGAAATCAGCTTTAGTTATATCACAGTCCTTTGGGTTCACGTGGAACCTGCATTCTGCAGAAGGATGATCCAAACTGTTTAAAGCAGTAAAGTGTACAGACTTTCAGCTCTTGACATGAACCAAGTAAATGTGGAGTCTGCTGTGAAGAACATCAGGCTTCTGATGTGAAACTGAGGAACAGTTTCACAGCCCCAGCACCTCAAGTAAGCTGCCAAAAGGAAAAACCCACAACAAAAAATGCTGGCAGGCAGAATATAACTTGATGTACTGCAGGCATCATATCAAACAGCAAGCTCCTGCTTGCAAAAGGACTCAAGACAGCGTGAACAGGACTCTACATGGGTCAGAGGTCTCTGCCTCCAGTGCCTCTCCATTCCTCTGCAGGACTAGAGCTTATTGGATCAGCAAGCTTCTAAATGAATGAATCACACAGCAAAAAATGCAGGTTCTTCATTTGTTAAAACATGCAACAAGAGCATGTGAGTGGCAGAAATCAGACTTGCACCTAGAGTATTACTTTTACATACACTGAGGAGCTGCTTCCCAGAAAGAAACGGTGTCTAGACAACAGGCAAAACATGAAGAGGAAACAGCTGACTAAATGGGTACCTACAGAGTTTGTTTGTTCACACTTAGCTGCCTTCAAAAAAATATGAGCAATCAATTAAGATACAGATGACCACATTTAAGACTTCATTTTTTGAGCATTTATTTATACAGACGCTAGACTGCATTTTTAAGGGCACTTTAAGACAGACTATCCCTCAGAGTACCCACTTAACTGTCTCACAGCACTTCAGTGTAATGAAACGCTTGGTGCCCAGTTACAATTCTTCCAAGTGTGACAAAAACAGTATCTAATTCCCAGCAAACACACAAAAAGAGATAAGCTCTCCTGTTTTCATGGAATAACTGCTCCTGCTTTCAATCAAAGCTACATTTACTAGATCAAGGAGCATGCTTGGCAGCTCATTTAGGAGAGGAATGAAGTGAGAGTTTCATTGTGAAAAACGACTTGTTTTGTCCCATTCAGGTTTTCATGCTGCACACACCCACATGACCATAACACATACACACACCGACTGGGGTCTTCTCATTTCTGAGAACAAAAGGACAGACGACTTGGGAAAAAAAAATAGAAGCAAGGATTTTCTGCAGCACTCAGTGAGTATTTTTACTTTCAAATATCATTTGGAGCAGAATACACCCCATCACCCCACCCCCCCCAGTAAACTTTGTTGTATTATATTATTACCATAGATTCATTAGTAAAAGGATCTGTGTAGTTGATTCTCTGAGTGGTGCATTCAATGTCTCCTGGCTGACCTGGATTGATCAGAGGTGGAATGTGATCATAGTAATGATGCTTGCAGCTCAGCAGCCGAGCCTTGCCTGGATAAAAGGCAATACCTGTTTGGGGAGAGAAAAAAAACATTCATATATACCATCAACCTACCACTTCAGACCAAAGTCTGCATGCTTTAAGAACCTCAGTCACCTCAGCTGTAGAAGGCTAGCAAAACACAAGGCCCAAACCCAAAACTCCTTTTATACCACATATGCCACATTTATCATTGGAAACAAGCTTGCCTGAAGATAATCTAGACCAACTACCAAAAAACCTCTGTGATTTGAGGTATCAGATATGATTAACCCACCCAACTGAGGTGACCTGTCTGCCAAAATGCAAGATGTCAAAGCAGTCAGCACATCTCAAAATGCTTTATCCCTTTCTTCAGTGCTCCATGCTTGCAACTTGCCATCTCATCACTTTAACAGAGCAGTGAAGTAAAGGACTACATTAATTTAGGTTCTTTGATCTGGCAGGGGCTCCTGGCAATACTTTTGGATTTATATGTATGTTGCTCTATTGTTTTAAGTGACATTGGCTTCCTGCTGCTGTATGAAAACCTCATGTAAGGAAAAACAAACGGCGGGGAGGAGCCTGCTCCTACAGTCAGATCCTCATGGTCCAAACACAAGGGTCTGAGCCTAACTGACCATACACAGAAACAACTACAGGAATAAGGCAAAAACTTGAAACACCTTTCAGCCACAATTACGTTTGTAAAATGTGGTATCACTTCCAACAAAAGTGTGATTTTTAAACTGGAAACTGCCCTACGACTGTTTGAGCTGCACTTGCTACCACAGCTCTATTTATGAATGGTTACTGGGTAATTTACAAAGATAATAACAAAAGAACTCATTATTCCCAAATGCTTCTGTGGTGTAATCCCTCCTGCGAGCTGCAACCCAGTTTCTGATGCCACACTGCATTTTGATGCCAACATTGTTCCCTGCAGTCACATCCCACCTGCACTGCCTACTGATGTAATACCAACTTGTAAACAATGCAAACAGAAGCAGAAAGTGGCACTGTGGTTATTTTGTGGTTGGCTTGAGAAATTCACCTTCTTTACTGCCAATAGCATCTTGCTGTCCAGCGCAGCACCGAGGTTGTGATGCACATCCTATGTGCTACCCTGTTTGAACAATACAATTCTGGGACTATTTCCATAAGGAATTACCTCCTTTCTCTGAAAGAAGACTCATTCTAGAGACTGAAAACACTTCTTATCTATCAAGTGTTGGCATAACACTCCACCCCAAAGGAGTGGTAAATGCTCCATCCCTGGCAGTGTTCAAGGCCAGGTTGGACAGAGCCTTGGGTGACATGGTCTAGTGTGAGATGTCCCTGCCCATGGCAGGGGGTTGGAACTGGATGATCTTAAGGTTCTTTCCAACCCAAACCATTCTATGGTTCTATGAAAGCTCCAAAAAGCTCCCATACAGTATTAACACTTCAGTGCAAAGTCAACAGAACAGAGATTAAAAAAACAGGGAAGTGAAAGACCTGGGTCAAAGCATTAGAAGCAGTCTGGAGAATCAGCACCAAAAATGTAAGGCCAGCTAAGATAAATGTGAACAACAACTTAACCCATTTTGTTTGTTACCACTCTTACCAGGTGCATCATACAAGGACACTTCCTTGTAAGAGACTGACATCACGGGGTGCTTGAGCTTCTCCCTGAAGTCACTGATGGTTTGGTAGACAAGGAACACAGCTACAGCCATGAGCAGCAGATAAATAAACAGGAGAATTACTGAAAAAACATTCTTTAGGCAGGTCTTGCTGAAACGCAAGGAAGGGGCAGTGGTACCCAGTTCACTATCTGGAACCAAACAGAATATGGATTAGGACTTTAAAATACAGATATTTGGGCTGAATTTATGAAGTGTTCATTTAGAGATCAATCACCTGAGAAAAGTAAGCCTCAAACTTGGCTTGATTTAAAAAAAAACCCTACAACTATTGCTGGTTTTGATGATCAGACAGATGCTTCCTTCTCAAGCATGAGGTGTAATCATCCAAAGATTGTGCCTCTTTTTCATTAGCTGAAATTGGCACTGTGCTTCAGGACACAGCAGGAGGAAACAAGGGTTGTTTTCAAGAAGGACAACTTGGAAGCGAAGTTCAAAGTTCACAGTCAATCCTTCCTCCTAGAAAAAGTAACTCTTTTTTCCCCCTTCCAGTCTGAAGTGATTCTTACACATGAGCATATGCATCAACAGAGAGATTTAATGCTCCAGCTATCTGCATTGCATCTCCACCACGGTAGAAGTCACTAGATATTTGCTACCCTCTAGTTCATAACAACTTGTATGTACTACAGGAAGGTTCACAAAAGGATTTTTCCAATTCTCACGCAGTGTCCTTGCCCTCCAAGCTTGTTTGTTCTCTGAAGATCTTCACACTAGTTTCAGTTGTACACAGACACTGCTTTCCCCAAGCTCCTTGCCTTTGCCACTTCTTTTGCCAAATACTTGTAAGGAAAATGTTCACGTACTCCCGATTTACACACCACATTTTGGCCATAAGCATTAAACCCCAACATATAAAAGGAGATAAGTAGGCATATTTTATGCTGGCTCTTCTGTGTAGTGTAATTTAATGAGTCAGGCCCTGCCACATTCTGCCCTTCAACTGTAATAGCATGGTTTGGTGTTTGTTCTTTACCACAGCAAACACCAGCCTTTTAGTAAAGCCTACTGAACACATAACGTCTTACCACGGTCACATATGCATTCCCAGGAGATGACAGCCAAGGAAATTAGGACTCTAATATGCATAAAATTGCACTATGGAAACAAGTATGTCTTGAACAGCTGTAAAGCATTTAGACAATGCTCATTGCAGCTTGGCCTACCTTAATGCCTACACCTGAGCTGCAATCAGCCCACTTAGCAGTGCCTGCACCCTCCAAAGCAGGTCTGAACAGCCTAACTGTGTAATCTGTGTAAAAGCACATCTGTTCAAGATTACATCTTGCTCATGTGAACCTGGCACAGGCTTTACTTGCAACCCAGGTAAGATAAAAGGAAGATGACATAGCAAGCTAGCTCAGAACCAGGTGTGCTCCATCATCTTTGACTGAGCCCAGTTCATGACAAAGAAATGTTCTCACCTCAATCCTTGAAAAACTCCTGGGCTTTCCATCATAGTTATTCCACAAATAAGTAATTTAGTGGTCTATTCCCCCAAATAAGTAATTTAGTGGCTTGTTTGCTTTCAGAAGTGCAATAAAGAAATATATGCAGCAAACCACAACCAAATCTATACACAGAAGCAGCTTGTCAGGCACTTAAAATGGGTAATTTCTGAGTCAATAGATCTCACCTGGTAGAATAACGGAGCTGGCATCTTCATGCACTTCCATTTCTCCTTCTCTCTCATCTGTTGGGTTTTCAGATGCTCGCTCCACATCTTCACTCAGCTGTGTAGTTAAAACAGTGGTTCAATTTCCAAACATGCTCTCAACTTGCAATTGCTGGAATTTCTATGGTACAAATAAAAGAGGCTCCAACTAACCAAACACACAAAAACATGCCCCCAGTCCAAGAGCACCCAACTGCTCCACTTCCAAACTAGAGTGACATTTATGTAGATCTACAGCTAAAAATCAAGAGACTTGCTGCAAAAAGAGAAAGACAGCACATGAAATTTAACCTACTTCTACCCTGCCACCTCACCCTCACCAATAACATCACCTTTTCTTTCAAGATCAAAGCTCTACATTTCTGGTACTTAGTGGAGCTCACTATACATATTATTACATATTAGTGGTTATG